ATTTTACTTTTAATGCAGATCAAAATTTACCCAGGAATCTAAGCTGGAAGTTTTGTAATACATTTATATGGCGACAGAAACGTCTTTTATTATTTAAAGTGGTAACGTGAATACGAACTAGTTTCTGCTAAGAAGTCTTATCTAACCCTTAGGTAGATAGCCCTCGTGTGCTTTGTCATAATTTAATAGCCTAACTTAAACTGATGGTATAAAAAAACCAATAACACGTTTTGAAAACAAATATAAATGCGAACCAATTTCCTTCAGAAAGTTCTCCACAAAGAGCTGCTTTTTCTTAAGCTCGCATACTTTGTTCGCTAATCCTAGTGTACTTTGCTTTAATCAATTAACCAAAGCTTAGAAACTGTTATTAAGAGTTACAAATTATTTGTAAATAATTCGCTACGCTAAGTTGATTTAAACGCGTTTTTACAACAAGAAGGTAAATGAAAAGATCTTTGCCTTGTTGACTAATAGCAATTTCCTGTTTTGCCAAGATAGGAATTTTTATTTTTCATGTAGTGAAGATAACATTTCATTTTAAACAAAATATGTGTAAGTCTCTAATAAATCAGACTGGATCAAATGTAAAGTAATAAACAGAGGAACGTTATTCCACACAACGTTTATTCACGAACACCAAAGACGAACTGATACATATACATAATTATGACATCACAGTTTCTTTTCGCAAACACTACCGCCATCTATTGGCAATCTAAAAATACATAAGCGTAAACTTAACACATTTGAGGTATTAAAAGCTATTCTCAATAACTGGATGATAACTAATAAATAACAGAATATGCATATAATAACAGAATATGCATATATTAAAGTCATAGGAAACTAAGTTATGTTGGAGCTTGAAATAACTTTCATTAAAGAGTATGTTGAGTCATTATGTTATTTTGAAGCAGGAGGGGTGAAAAATGTGCAGTGCCCTGGACCTCTCGAACATGTGTCGAGTATGCTTCAAGCTACACCACGAAAGCATGCGAAAAAGAGGGAGAAAGTAAAAGTTATTTTAAGATAGCTTGCTACAAGGCATTTATGTAAGAGCTGTTCTTAAGAGAGATGGCTTCGTGGAAGACTTTCTAAGAGAAACTCGTTTGTATTCACGTTACTCATGCAGAAAGCTCAGGAATATTAAATCTCAAATTCCATGAAAATTTCATCTAAATATACTCCTATAGCCAACTCTATAGAATTTTGATAGCTTCGGCTGTATCTTTTTAGTTAAGTTTATTTAAGTTTTATTTCTTAGTATTCTTGAGTTCAAGCCCAAGTTTTCTGTACTAAACAAGAGGCTTTTCTGTATGTCCTGAGAGAGGACCGACTGTGATATTTGAGCAATAAAGAGTAATATCCCAAGTTTACGTTTCTATCTTTCTGAATCAAGAGATTATTTCGCTTACCGATTATTCGCTTCTCAAGGTTCCACACATTTAGCTGTAAATTCTACGTTGGAACATTACAAAGTATAAAAGCCTAATTACTTCTAAAACAATCATTTTTTTTTTTTTTTTTTTTTTTTTTTTTTTTCAGTGAAATACTCATTACTAATTTTAAGACGCGTGAGAATCTCGGCGTGTGCTGCTATTACAATTACACTCCAAAAACACTTTCAGATTATAAAAGATTAAGCATATGAAAACAAGTTCTGATGACAAATGATATGATTTGTTGAAAACAAGTTATATAACTTACGTTGTCATGTACGTGCAGTTTTTGTCTTCATATTAAACAAATGCGTCATAACGCAAACGTATTTTAGAGCAGGTTTTACCGCTGGCCTTAGAAAGTACGTTACCTCTAAATTTCCAAGGCCACAAATGATTCGTCAGTAAACTTACCTCTCGACATTAAATTCTTACTTGATGCCTGACCACATTCCAATTGATGATGTACTGTAACTCATAAGATTATAAATAAAATAAAAATAAGAATAGCATATAGCGTAATAAATAGAAGAGTAAGGCTAGAAAATCCCAATAAAGTGCCGCATGGAATAAAGGAATACTTTAATTAGGATTTTTTTTCCCCTTGATCTTATGATTTTTCTTTTAATTCCTGTAATATATTTCTTGTAATTTAAAACTTTCATGTTCGATTTAACGCTTAAGAGAAGTAGAAAAGTGAATTTCTGTTACAAAGCGTAACACCATTTATAGTTTCGGTAGTTAAAGAGATATTTACACTCGAATTTTTCAAAGAATTTCTTTTTTAACTGATTTTCAAACACGTGTTTTCGTGATTGGAAGCAAAAGATTAAATTTTAATTTTGAAGTATGTATTAAACAATTAAATTCATTCGTTTACTAATATTTTGGGTACAAATTTTTCAGCAGTTATAAACTTTCAAAGTTAAAGTTTTCAGCAGTCTAAACCAGTTATATTTCAGTAGATAATATTTTTAGCAGTTTGTAGTTTAGTTAGCGGTTTAAGTAGTTAGTAGTTTCAGCAGCTAGTAGTTACTTTTAATTAGTTAGCAGTTTCAGTAGTTAGTAAATTAGTAGTTTCAGATAGTTAATTAGTAGTCTTAGTAGTTATTAGTTTCAGTAGTTAATTAGAAGTCTCAGTACACTTAGTACTGAGTAGTAGTTAGTTATCAGTAGCTATAAAATTTTATCTTCGCTAGTGAAATTTAAACATTTAGGATACCATGTCGTTTTGCGAAATTTGTATTTTCATTTTCACGAAAGTTCTACCTAAAGTAAAAGCGAAATCGGGCAAAAAGAATCCAAAAACAGAACTCAGAAATTCTATCTTCGCCCCATGAATAATTCATGACATTCAAAATAGCAGACAGACACAATATTTGAAAATAAAGCTTTTATTTTATGTATCATAAAATTATTATTAAACCCAAAAATCTCCTTAAAATTTTGGAATAACAGCACAGATACGCGAAATTACATTTAAGTTTTCTACATAAAAATTTGAGACAAATATTTATAAAAAATTACCCAGATATTTCTCCTAGATATCTGAAGAGTAAATGGTTGAGGAATCCATAATTTTTGGAATTTAAATTGTTTATCTTAGATGACTGTATTTAATACTGTTAGATGATGATGTGTTCTCTTTTGTATGACTCATCAAAAATGTCGCACATTTTATTACCTTTAATTTATTATAGGAACTAATTATTTACATGTAGCATACATATAGCTGTAAGCTGGGGAATCGTGACTCATCGCCATTACATTCGTTCGAGCTCGTTGCCTGACACTTTTCAATTTTTGCGCCCTCTAACGACTGCTTTTTTACAACGCAATCTCTCGGCGGATTACAGTATAGCGCAGCAAAACTTACCTAACCGAATTAACATTCTTTATTGAAAAACAACAGAAAAAAAAAAAAAAAAATTCAGGTTACGCTCTGGAGTGGGCCATTAAAGTTTCAAAAAGTTTAAAAGTATTTAAAATCTGGGAAAAAAATAAAAAATAAAACCCGAAAGCTTTTAGATTTTATATTACGCGTTTTGTCTGTTACCTTTATTTATTAAATATCATGCTCTTCGCACTTAAACTACATAAAATTTGATTCAACAGCGATATCACAAAATATTTAAAAACAGCATATGTTTAGAATTTCCGATACACAGACTCGCGCGCTGGAGAATTTTTTTTTTTTTTTTTTTTTCAGTGTTGCCATTGCTCGCTTTGAAATCGTTGAGTTTATTAATCAAAAATTCATAAATGTTTGACAAAATATAAAATAGATAATAAAACAAATTCGAAATTCAAAATTCGGACTTCCGGGTGCCCATGTCCGGATGGAGTATTACGTTTTTGAAAATTTGATGGCTCGTACAGTCGTTTTTTCACATTACAAAAAACAAACATACATTCGTGCAGGATCTTCAGTATTTAATTTCTTTAAACATAATAGAGGTCGATAATATTTGGTGGCAACAATTTAAAATGTGATACGTCGTTTATAATGAACCGAAGCAAAATGCCGTTTCGAGACTAATAACCCTTTTTCTTAACGATCCTTTGGGCTAAAAAAAAAAAAAAGAAGAAAATCGGGTCGCAGTAAAATTACAGATTTTTTGCAATATTATTAAATTTCTCATTTTCTCTTTTCTGACTTATTAACTATGTTGCTTACTTTCTGTTGTATTTAAAACGTAATATAATAACCATGTTGATCTGACAGATTTCCCTTTTTAGTCCAAAGGGATTTGAATCCCGAAGGACTATTAGTTTCGTTTTGGCATTTTGCGTCGGACGGATAAATGTCGGTTCACTTTTCAAACTGTTGCCATAAAATATTAGAGTCCTGCATTATATTTGAAGAAATTAAATAATGAAAATCTGCGTAAATGTATGTATATTTCTCACATTGTCATAAAATAACGGTACATAGAGTCATCGAATTTTGAATAACGTAATCCTCCAACGAATATGAGCATGTGGAAGACCAAATTTGAAATTTGAAATTTGTTTTATGATCGATTTCCTATTTTTTAAAACTTTGACGAATTTTTGATTAACAAACTCAAGGATTTCAAAGCGAGCAATGGCAACGTTGTGCAGAAAAAACATTTTTATCTCCAGCGCGTGAGTCTCTGTATCGGAAATTCTAAAGATATGCTCGTTTTAACTATTTTGCGATATTGCTGTTGCACTGGATCTTATGGTTTAAGTGGGAGGAACGTGATATTTAATAAAGAAAGGTAACACACAAAATGTTAAAAAACGCCCCTTTGGACGTAATTTAAAATCTGAAACATTTCAGATTTTTTTATTGATTTTTTACGTATATTTTTTTACATAATTTTAGGACTGTTTTTCGTTCAGAAATCTAACGAAATTTTATTTGAGAAATTTGAAATACACATTTCTACTTCTGTGCTTTCAAACTCGGTATTTTAACTCATTTTAAATTCTGATCACACTCACGCTCGTTGACCTCTCCGTTCAAAGACGCTAGCGTAAAACGTGTTTGCAAGTCTCTAGAACTATTCCTTAGACAAATGTCGTATATCTATTACGTCTTTCCGCGAAGGTCGGTTTATTAATTCTAGAGCTTGAAGCTATATAGTGCTGAAGCTTCATCATACAAATAAATAGCGGAAGCAAACGAATTTAGAGGATCAAAAGCGATGTTTACTTGGTAAGTAGCTGTTGCCAATTATTAACACCTAATACTTGTCAACAATTGTTGAACACTCTTTCCCGGCAATAAGTGTATAAACTGTACTATCTGTGAATATTACGAAACTACTTTAAACCGGCTATTACAAACTATTAGGATATAATTTGAATGAATATTTAGGTATCAATATTGATTATTATAAACGCGAAATAAGATTTTAATAAAGATAATTAATTTAATCTCATTGAAGCAAACTGATTGTTTCAAATGACTAGAAATTAGTTAAACTAGAATCTTCACCGAAGGTATAAAATAGAAGGTATAAGAGAGAGTTTTTATTAATTGTACAAATCGTCTAAACGTTAATTACAATTAAAAGTACATAAATTTTTACTTCTTTTTACGAAATAAAGGAAGTATTGTAATCGCGAAGGATTTCAGGTATCATATTTCGACGAAAATATCCATTTTCACCGCTCTCGAATCGCTTAAACGATGTTCTTGCATGATATCTGTGCGTACGGACAGAGTAAAGGACGCTTTTTTTTTTCCAAAACGGATTGTAAGATGGACTTAAAATGGATTCAGAAGATATTTTTTGTGACAGTATGTATCAGCAATAACTCAAAAACGAGTAGCCTCAGAACGTTGAAATTTTGTATATGAGATTGCTATAACATGTAGTTATGCACACCCCCTTTGTCGTTACAATCGGTCGCACTAAACGCATATATCTATTCTGTTACCCGGCTGGGTGAGCTTACATTTTTTTTATTCTTATATGTTGGTAAAATTGTGCATTTTTTGCTTTAAAGGTGATTGAGTGAATTTTGTTATTCTTATGTTCCTGTTAAGGTTTTTATGCCTTTAGTTAATCTGCAGGCAATAGTTTTAAAATTATCAACAATTTAAAAGTTGTTAAGTGGTACTAAGCCTAACGAGGTCACCATTTGCTTACATTTGAAACATTTTAGTAGAACAGTCAATTCATTTGGTGCACTAAATTCAGTGTCTTTTTGCAGAGCGGAAAATCTGTCTTCCTTCCTGCTGGCCGAATTGTCCTTTTTTCCTTAGAAACTCGAATTTTAATTGTAAAAATTATTTCTTTAACTGTTTTTAACTTTATTTGGTATTTTAGGTTATTTTTAATGAAGATGTTTTGAGATATTATGTTTTTTTGCCTTGCCGCTATAAAATTCGAGGAACTAAGTTTAAATGAAATGCAGCAAAAAAAGTGTGTATAATTTAATAGGCCGTGCAAGGTCCGTGCAATGTGATATCCACATTAGATTCTTTTTAAGACTAAAGTGATATTAAAAAAGGAAAAGACTAGACTAAAAAATATTTCTGACGTCACTAGTTGCTTTAATTATTTATAGTTATGATAACAAATGCCTGTCCCTTATGGGATATGTGTTTTTTGGTGAAAAATTTGACCTTGTAAAAGACTAGAGGAAATAATGACTGCTTGTGATACAAGGGTGTGAAACATAAGAAATTGCACATAAAAAACCAATTTTTAAAGTTCAGCAAAGGGAAAATAAAAACTACCATGTTACACTCGTTGTTTGAGGTGATGGCAACTAAAATAATTCGTAAAATAAAGCTCAAGTTTATGTTTGCTCGATTACAGCCGCCTCGGGATATATTCAAGTTTCTGTTAGTGTTTTAAAGATGTAATCTGAGGGTCAAAACTGAGTGCGGTTTATTGCATTTTAAGTGTGACTAAAAATAATGCATAATACAGTCCATTGGCTTAATTGTGTAAATGTGTGTTACTATTCAGAGAAGAGTAAACATATGGAATAGCCATTCTGTTGGTAAAGTGATAGATTAATTGGTATAGCGATAGATTCAATGACATTAGACAGTAGTTCTAGTCCCGGAGAAAGTTTATAAACTTTAGTGTCTTTGCCCCATTAGGGTTCTTAAAATCTGTCGAGCCAAATGTCAAGAAAAATTTTGTGTATAATTTTTTTTTTTTTTTTTTTTTTTTTTAATTTCTACTTCATGCAAAAATTTAAGGACTATGTGTATTACGTTTATTCAGAAATTAAGTTGCAGTTGCAGCAGTAGTTTTTAGTTATAAAACTAAGAGCGGTGTCAATTAAAAATACGCCATTTTTTTTTCCCCACCAGTTGTTTCCAAGTTTAAAATTACAAAGTAATAATAAAAACCAAAAGACTAAAAAAAAATTACTTCCGTAAAAAGTAATTTTTTTTAAATTTCATAATTCTTAAAAAAAAAAAGGAAATTTTTCTTTTTAATTTTTTAATCTAGAATATTCTACATATAGATTAAAAAATAACAAAACGAAAGAAAATTCAATCTAAACAGGTGGTATAAAATTACAAATATTATTCAATATTATAGAAAATATTTCAGTTTTTGAATATAACCGACGCCACATAAATTCCATCAAATATGACTCTAAATGGTGATGAGCAGTGGCCCGCTGAAGTTTAATTCTCCATTTAACACTGCCCCACAGTCTTTCCACAGTATGGCATCCGGTTTCGGGGTATACAAAATTATAAGTCCCAGTGAAATGTTCATACCCAGCATTTCTTTATTCCTCTTTCTTATATCCTTTTCAGCAGTCTGAAAATATATACTGCTTGTTTTCCTGAATGGCAGTCATCATTGTTGTAGCACAACGTTCGGGAACGGCGACCAGAAAACATTCTTTGTTTTCCCGGCAAAAACCCGTGAATGCCCATTGTTCCAAAACAATATATCCACGTTGTTTTTTTCTTTTTGTGAAAAGAGTTTCGTCTGTTTCGACGATTTTGTTGGACCCACCAATTTTATTTCTTTTAGGAGACATCAACCTATTTGCACATACCTCCGTCAAGTAAGTTATTCCAAACTATTGTCGTATTATGGCTGATTTCTAACTGAAGTTAACAAAATTCAATCGACGTCGTTTCCTAACTCCACAGATAGGTAAAACGAAGATAAAAGAATGACGCGAGCCTTCAAACCATGTTTTGGTTCTCAATCCCCCCCTTTTTTTTCCCTCCACAGCAAGAACTTACGTAACAACGCCATATAAGCGCTTTGTTTGAGTCAAAAGTTAACTTCATCGAATGATTTTGAGAACAAAGTCAATTGCCATGAATTATTCTTTTTTCCTGAAGGAATCTTATAGCAGCCTCTTCGTCATTACGTAATTTCCAAAACTGTGTAGTCCATCCTACTAAAAAAAAATTCGAAATATTGCAAAAAATAAAAAAATAACGTGTGATGATATTTCAAACGAAAACTGGACATCTCGAACCACGATATTTCAAACATTAAATTCTCGATCCTCGATATTTGGCGTCAGGCGTGTTGTTGTAGCATTGTTTTCTTCTCATTTTATCTTCATTTTTAACTGACGCCGCTCTAAGGAAATAGTACCAAACTAAGAATTAAATTAAAGAATTCCATAAATATATGAGAAAATATAAGTGCTCTGCTGTATTTTCTGTAATTATTATGTATGTATTTACTGCAATATTTAAAACTTTGGTTTTAAAAGATTTCATTTCTATTTTCAGATTCAAAAGGTGACCAGCATCTTTTACAAGCCGTTAAAATAACGAAAACTACCAAATTCCGTTTCAAAAGCTTTGAAAAAGCATCGGAACTGTCGAAAACAAAGGAGTCTAGTCGAGAAATAATTAGTTTCAAAACAGTTGAAATAATTCCCAAACATGGGTCTCGGGTACGAACTACCAACGAAAAAATCTCAAAGCGCCAATGACAGGTAAGATTCTTTTCAAACTACAATTAAATTACATTTTAAACTTATTGAATTAGTGCGAATACGTTTCCAAATCATGAAACGAAATATTTTAAAAATCTGTAAGCCAAGAACTAAAAATTTCTGTAAAATGGCATTAGCTTCAAAAATGTATACACTGCCAGGAATTGAAAAATGAGTGCCAGAATGTGTAAGACAACAGATTTAAAATTAACGTGACATAGTCATGATTAGATAAAGAAAATGATCCTGAACTCAAGAATATGGGGCAGTTTTTATGCGTTATGCGCAAGATAATATGTTAAATCTGGCAATGCACGTATCAGATATAACATCTTTTCTGCTTGCATGCATTCCCAAAGATTTCGAATATTTTGTTGTAAAATGTTATTTGTTGTTGTTCGAGCTTCTAGACACAATTTAATTACGTTTCTTGCATGTGGGAAAGCATGCATGCCTTCTCGGGGATTCGAAACCAGGCCAATCGGTATGGCAGCCGGCGTCATTAACCATTATATTGGCTGGGCGACCTGTTAACACAGCATACTGCGTTATGTAAGGAGAAAATATGCAACGATGATGCAAGCATACTTAATGTGTTCATGTATGAAAGTCTCTTCTTCAAAGTGCGTGAAACGACTATCAGACCTGACTGCGTATAGTGATTAATAGTATCCATGCATGTTCATCATTTCTTCTTCGAACATATAATGGTCATTAGCATACCCAAACATAATTAAAACGACATCTCTGAACACCGCGATATAACTAACATTCGTTTCTCGAGTGGGCTTACTGACTCCAGGAAGCAAATATTATTAAAAGCGGTAAGTTGATAATGTTAATCTTGCAAATGGCTCAAGTGATCTAAATTCCTATTTCCAATAAAGCGGTTTGGGACTCATTCCCAAATATAATGCATGTCTCATTTGTCTTAAGTCTGACCATTTTGACATTAAAAACAGTCTTTTGTGCGTACTGATCAACCAAAACTTCATTGTCGCCTTCCTGATGCTCCATTTTTGGCAAGGAAAGTAGTCGCAACACGTCATGGCATGGATTCTACACGTCCTTAATAAGTGCCGGAAGGCAAGCAGAAATTATACAGTCCCAGTAGATTATAAATAGATGGTTACTGAGCTCTAAGCTGGTGCTTCATAATATCCTAGATGTGTACAAATAATAGGCCCCAGAATAAGGAAACCAGGACATCAAATAAACTTCATCAACAGGTTGCACAAACAGCTGGAGCACAGTTCCAGTTTTGCGACAAGCAATGCTGTGGCGTTAGCAAAGTCAGTGTCTATTGCAGAAGATAGAAGCAATGAAAAGATGTAATTTACCAACAATGAAGTTGCATGCCACCTAAAAGATAAGAATTCGACTCAGCCATCAACGTAATGCAAATGAATAGTGATTCGTTTGATAAGATAAATCTTTTACACGGTTGCATGATCCAGTCACGACCCCCTGTAGTCGTAAACATCGATGAGGTAGGTCAGTAAAGGAACATTAGATGAGACCTCTACTGCGGAATCCCATACCTAAGAGGCTGATGAATTTTATGCTCAGATACACTTGTAATATTTGAACCTGCAACTGTATTCAGCTATCATCTGAGCCATCGGCAGCCGCCTATTTGGCTTCACCAAACGGGATAGTCTACGGCATTCGTTTATCAAGTATGGAGTCCAGCGCCTCGTCCAACGAGTTTACTACCGGTTATCACTTTCTATCTTCCATTTTTCATGGACACCAACAACGGCAGGTTGCAAACACTCGAAGAAAAGTGTTCTTTCAAAGATGTTCATTCACAGCCTTCGAACCATTAAATTTGGCTTTTGTAAGTCGCTTAAGTCAGAAACGTTCTCCATTAGACCCCATAAAGTCAACAAAATGATGCCTCATAAATCGACATCTAACATATTATGCTACAATATCTCAAGATTTTATGATGCATCCGGCTAATAGTGGCCATTTTAAAAACGTATCACGTATAGAAAACATCGGCTGTAAGTTCCCAATGAGAAAAACTGACAAAGGTCATCCAAACATCACTGTTGGTGGCAACTGTTAAATACCACTCCTTCCTCGCAAAGTGCCATCTATGCTATTCCCGCGAATATATTCTCACAGCATAGAGGCAACCATAATGTTTTAGCTGAACAGTGCAGATCAGTCCTTACAGTCATCCCGTTGCCTTTTTAGCCTTGAATCTGTTCGCCTGATCTCTCTAGTATATTTGACTCATTGTCGAAAACACTCATATTGTGGATGCCGACCATTTCATTCATTAGACAGTCTGACGAAATCCGGTTTCAAATACTGGCCATTATGCAACCGCTTTCAAATTCTACCTTTGAGTAAAAGATATATTGCTACAGTCTTACACACAGAGTTCAGTGCATAATTCTCTAAACGGCAACTATTTAATACAGGGCTGGATTAAGACCACAAGCATTTAAAAGATTTTGGTGCTCCCGCACACATTTATATAACGCTTAATTTCCCCCCATTCCTTCTGCCAGTTCTGGTTTAGCTGCGCCATACAATCCATAGCAAAATCGTCAATGGAATTATACTTCACTGCATTTTTTTCCTAAAGTTCCTAAAGACCTTTTTGTGGAATCCTCTTTTCCTGATTACTAAACTTGATGTTCTTTTCTCATCCCATTAATCATACTTTATAAATATTTCAGTTTTTCAATATTATTTTGAATATTTTACACGTAATATATTATTCAGTAAAATAATTCAACGAGACTATAAAAGAGGATCATTTTGCTCCTCCTAAAGCCTTAGGGGGAACAAAAGTGCGGCTTAGCAAAAAAAAAAAAAAAAAAAAAAAAAAAAAATTGCTCTCTAATATGCTTTAGCAATGATATTTCGAACACATGGACGAAATGAATGCATTCTAAAATCATTGTGATTTCGATAACGACATTTGGAAAGAAAACTCAACTAAACATGTTCCTGTTTTGGTTATCAGAAAAGTTACTTTACAAAATACAATCAGGAAAATTGATGCAATATATATATTTTTTACAACAGTTGTAGCACACCATGTGAAAACTTTACAGAAACGCTATAGACTCAATTTTCAAATTAGTTAATCAACTATTTTTTACATTTTGAATTTTAACTAAGTGTAAAAGTTTTGTTTCAGTTTATTTACTTTTTTAAGGTAAAAAGGTGACATAATTTTCTTTTTAAAACATCGTTTCTTCCTTCTTCTTCGTCTTTTTAACCCAAAGCGGCGTTATACCCAAAGGGCTAATAGTCTCGAAATGGCATTTTGCATCGTTTCACTTTCTGCGTTGGTTCACTTTTAAAACTGTTGCTACCAAATATTATCGCCATGTATTATATTTAAAGAAATTAAATAATGAAAAATCTGCATGAATGTTTCAGGCATTGTGAAAAAGCAACGGTACCTAGAGCCATCAAATGCTGAATAACGTAGTCCTCCAACCGAACATAAGCACTTCGAAGCCCGAATTTGAATTTGTTTTATTATCTATTTCAAATTCTGTAAAATATTTATGAATTTTTTATTAACAAACTCGACGATTTCAAAGTGAGCCATGGCAACACTGTACAGAGAAAAACATTTTTATCTCCTGTGCGCGAGACTGTGTATCGGAAATAGTAAAGATATGCCGTTTTTAAATATTTTGTAATATTGCTGTTGAGTTGAATTTTATGGTTTAAGTGCGAAGAAACATGATATTTAATAAATAAAGGTAACACACAAATAGTCAAAAAAAGAACCTTTGGGCGTTATATAAAATCTGAAAACTTTAAGATTTATTTATCTATTTTTAAGTGAGAAAAAGCAAATAATGTTAACATTTAATAACAATGATAAAAACCTTTTGCTAGATTACGCTACTGTTGATATTTAGTCGGATTTTATTCTCATAAACCGAAGCAAAATAAGCAGAATTTTTATATACAAATCATGATTTATGCTTTTATTCTGGTTTCATAAACAAATCTTATTTTAAACTTCTTATTATTTCAATAAACAAAATAATTTCTGCATGATGAAAGCTGATATTATAACTCAAGAGTATTCCATTTCTGATAATAATCTGTATACTAAATTCCTTTAGCAGTTTTACCCAATCATAGTTATATTTAATTTTTCTTTCAGAGGAGCTGCTTATGGAGCATGGGTCACAAAATATAATAACAGTCAGCAACAGACATTTTCCTGGAAGGCAGCTAATGATGACAATAAAGCTAAAAGCAATGCAGCCAATGGAAACAACCCTTGGGGCCCAATATTTAAAAATAAGAAGAATTTTGTTGACATGCATTTTTGTTAATTTAATGTCTCCCGTGTCAGTCCTATGAATATGTTTGCAGTTTTTATTTGTGTAATATCTAAAAATTAAATGTGAAGCTAAATTAAGCTTATATGAATTTCTCCATATTAATTTATTGCAAGCAAAAATTAAAAATTTTAACGGCATATTGGTTGAAACTAAATAACTATTAAAGCCTTAATTAGGCTAAAACATTCTTGTTTGAACTAACTTCTATAAAGGTAAACTTAAGTACTTGAAGATTCAAAGAAAATTTTACATATTATTTATTCACAGTAATTTAATTAAGTGAAAGTATTACAGATGAACAGGAACAAAACCTAGATACTAACTGCACAAAATTACTAAATGCAAAATAATGAATAACATAGACATCCATTTTTCTCATAATGCACTAAAAAAATCCATTCTATTGCAAGACAAGAAATGAAAATAACAGAATAATTAAGAAAATCTGTAGTTTTTAACAGGCTTTTGATATATAATTAAACAAATCTATACTAGATATTTTTAAATTACCTTAAATAATAGTCAAAGATTAAAAATTTCGGATTTCATCAAGAAACGTTTTCCAATTACTTCAAATAAATAAAAATAGATTGTGTACTGCCTTCATTTATCCAATGATAAATACAAAATGTGTACTCAGCTTAAAATGCTGAGCAACATGCAAACCCAAAACAAAATGGGACTAAATCCATATTCGCATCATTTTGTTCAGTTAATCAATTAGAAAACATTACATTTTATCAGCTAATTAATTAGAATTTCATCAGTTAATTAATTAGAGTTAAATTTTGAAATATTAAATTTCACATGAGACTAAATTAAAAGCAAAAATTTCATGAAATCCCAATTAGAAAACACAAATACATGGTACAAAATGTGTAAGGTGGGCATAATTTATGAAACTCATTACAAACTGAAATAAAACGTAAATGATGTTTAAATATTAATGATTTATATTTATATTTATGAAATTTAGCAAGCTATTTTAGTAAAATCTATTTTCAGATAATATTGAGAGTTTTGCTGAGAATACTTATTACTGAGCACCCAATTAATTAAATACATATATACTAAGGACATTCTAGAAAATAAATGAAAGGTAACAAATTATAGCAAAGCACGTAAAAATATAACTAATCTAGGAAAGTGGTAATACTGTGCAGGAAATTAGTCTACATTCGTGTTATATATGGGAAAATAGGTACAGTTAGTCGGTTACAAATAATGGGATATTGAAAGATCGATGAAACTTAGATACCCAATGCTCAAAGTTCAAAAGAAAAATCCCTTCTGAATTCTATATCCATATAGAGGAAACCAATTTTAATGGTAATCGAATTCTAGATGAAATTCAGTATTCAGTGCATTCGTCCACTTAGAATTAATAAGTGTGACATCTCATGCAAAAACAGAAATCACAAAGAAAGAACTTTTCAGCAGGATTGACATTTCATTTAATAGTTATGAGCAGGTCTTAAATCTAGAACTATCAAATTTATTAAAATGGTACATTATGGATTTCATGTTTTATATTTATTGAAATCATAAAGCTGCCAGTGTTTAACTATGTTAACGTCTGTGTCATTTTATTTAGGAAAATGATTACAAATGCCAGTCTAATTTTCACTCATCATATTGATTTCTAAAACGTGCAGATAATACACATAAAATAATATACAATCCATTGAAATTATAGGTTTAAAATAATTTTATGATTCATGACAATTCACAGATGTATCAAGGGAAAATATTTCACACTGTTTCATTCTCTTATAATAGATTTATTACTTTAATTATTTTCTGAAATATTTCCATTTGCATGTGCATATTACAACCTCCCCTCCCAAAAAAAGTTGTCTTAAAAATTATTATTATTATTACTAGACATATTTTATCAATTTTCTAAATCAGCACCATTAATGCATACATATTGAGTACATTAGTAACTTTTCAGAAATGGTTCTTCATCACAAATTTACAAAAAGCATCTGTTGTGATTATTATACTCAACTTGCATTGAGAAATAATGCTGCTCATCTAAGTGCTGAATTAGAACATGAAAATTTTTCAGAACTAAAATATAATTATAGTTGTATATTTTCAATGAAACAGAAAGTGGTAATGATAGAAAGAGTTTCAAGAAATATTCAGTTAATGATGGAAAAAGCCATGAATACTTATTACACAGCCAGCTTGTTTTAATGGGTTCAAATCCTAGTGGTCTTTAACTACTTGGCAAATGATCGGGCATAGTATTTTCAGACTTTGACGAAAATAATAAAACTGAATGAAAATGAAATACATGCATAACCATTCTACCAAAAATCTAGTAAACATATGCAGGATTGCTCAATCTGAAAGCAGATTCCTTATTTATGGGTACATAATTCTTGTATATTTTGTTTGCAGTGGTTCATCAATTTCTACACTGTTCCTTTACGTATAACCAGTTTGATACGAAAGGTAAATTCACCAGAAGCAGAAATCAGGTCAAGAAGGTGGGTCTTCAATTATTGCTTAATAAGAATTTTATGTGTAGTATTATTTAAAAGCAAGATCAAGTATTCATTGTAGATGAGGAATGGTTTAATATTAGTGTTCCTTATTTACCAAAAATTATTAAGGAATAAATTCAGAAAAATTCATTTGTTTATTAAGGCTCCCTTCCACCTTGTGAAAATTTTTATCTCATGCGTTATGTCACGATGATAAATAATTGAGCTCCTATTCTTTGAAAGAAGCATGGATTATAGAATGGGGATACTTAAAATGAACTATATAAATAAGCAATACACAATCCTAAAAGAACTGGAAATGAACATTCCTGATGCCATCCAGAGAAAGGATTAAAGAAAAGCTTCATTATAGTGCTAAAACTACACTGAATTGGAGAGGTATAATTTCTGCATATGCTGTAAAGGTATGCCCCACAAATATGCACACAGTTTTCTTGCCTTTCAAACTGAACACCCTGCTTACTGTCAAATTCGATACTGCAACAAAATTGCACTAATTACTAATAATGCAGAATTTAATAAATATGCTTGTGGAGAATGTATGTTTGAATTATAATCAGTTCAAAGGTAAATGCTCTGCATAGTTATAAATTTAAAGAAGAAATAATAAAAGAACATATAAAAAAGTAAGAAGTTGAAAGTTTTCTGTATTTATTTGTTTTAAAATTAAATAAATAAATAAATTAACTGATCTTTGAATGGCCACTGTATTGATGTATTTATTTCAATGTGAGTAATTCTAGTGCTAATCTTTATACACTTTTTATGGGAAAAGTGCCCAAGTATGATATTTCAAACAAAGTCATTATTTATAGCCTAAAAATCTTTAGATTTAACACTAATTAATAAATGTGTGGAGGCATAATTTAAATGTAGAACCATTTGCATTCCTTAAATAATCCTTTAAATATCATGAAATAATAAGTTTTGGATAAGTTCTTAAACAAAATGCAATATCTTCGTAACCGAACCAAGTGAAGCTGTTAAGAACTAAAGCAAATCATGCAATGACATTAAAATTTCATCAGTTATCAAACAGTATCTGCTGCATCAGTTATGCTTTATCAAGTAGTATCTACTTTATAAGAAACGTCTTCACATATAATTCATATATAATAAGAATCTCGCCTGTATTTAAACCAAACGTGGAACTATACAAAAATCTGAGGCAGCAAAACTGCATGGAATTTTTGCATAGTCTTTTTGTTGAATAAAAAAATTTCCAAAATTTTTACATGTTAACGTAAAGCCAAGTATTAAATATTTCTCATGTACGTAGTTGCTAACTCTGAATATGAAATGTTCCCGGAAGAATTTCGAGCTGTGAGGACACCATTTCAAAAGGAATCTAAATTGATATAAATTTGCCATATAATGTATAATTCAGTTTGGGCAACTAATTTATATTATGGTTCTTATGTAAAATATACTAACACATTATTTTTATATTCATTGGCATGGACAGAATCCTGTTCATTTCTCAAAGTACTTTTAAGCATGATGAAAATAAAATTAATAATTAATGTACATATTACAAAATTTAATTATTAATATACATATTACTGTGTGCAATATGCACATTAATTATTAATTTTAATTTTATGCATAGTAATGCATCACATATGTACTGCAATACATCACATAACCTATATTAAGCACAAATATTAATTGATTCCAATGAAATAAAATTTAATACACAAAATTTTGCTGAAAATTGCTAGGGCTGGGAACGTGAAATTTGCACAGTTTAAGTTTCATTAATTTAATAAATTTAATTTATTTATGAAAAAATTTTCCTTAATACAGGCTAAAAATTAAAAACTCGGAGATATGATGAAGAACTGGGAGTCTCCCAGTAAAAGCAGGAGAGTCGGCAGTTATCCCAACTATTTTATCTCAGAAATTCAACTTATTTTTGGTAAATTTATCATGCATAATAATTTATGCATGCATAATAAGACACACACAAGATCAATTGAATGACAATGATGACACTTTATTATCACATCTTCAATAAAATTACAAGCTAAATATTTGGCACATCTGTAAAACGTCAAATGTTCACAACATTTTCTTTTTTAAAGTTCATTCATCTTAATTCACAAACAGAACAGATGGGTAGAATGACAGACGGATTTAAAATACTTTGTTCACACAGAAAACAATGTCCATTGCATAAAGAAGTGATAAAACGTCCTATAGTTTCCATGTCACAGATAGATCATTCATTCTCTTTGAAACTGATCTCAATGTCTCAGTCAAAAAAAAAAGTACATTTGTCATAATTTCTTAAATTTGGAAGACAATTAACTGGCAAATGGGAAACATTTCTATGACAAAAATAATGACTATTTTTATTCTTAAAACTCTGTATTAAAATATATTGTGTAATACAAAACTAGGGAATGCACATCTTGAAGAAGAAAATTGGAACATTTAAATATTAACTGACACGACAGATAAATATTACAGCATGACAAAACCACATATCCTGAATGAGGATTTGTTAGACCACTGCCAAACATACTAAAATTAAATTATTACAATGTTCTTCATTTTAGGAGAATATGGTTAGCTTAAAAGTACCTTTAAAATCTAGATTAACTTTCATTTGTAAGAATGCATTAAATTGAACTAAAGAATAAATTTCATACATAAATATGCAGATTAATGACAAAATTCTAAGTTAAATAAAAATAACTTATGCAGAAAATGTCAAACTATTTGAAAATTTTAAGAAAACTGAATTCATAAATATTTTTTAATCTAAGGAGCTTGTTAAAATATTTATAAAATTTTTTTTTATCAATATGCCCAATTATATATACAAACAAATATATTAATTTGTTTACCACTTGGCAGCTTTGTAACAAGCATTTTTATACAGCTTTTAATTTTGACAGTAATTTTAAGACAGTAGCCTTACAAATCTAAACAATATGTTACACATTAAAGGAACAAATTAATAAATTAAACTATCACTTAACAAAAAGAAACACGATTATTTACAGTTGAACCATTGAAAATTCACATCAAAACAATAATTACAAATGTGAATCATTAGTGTAATTTCAATGAACCCATTTACATACACATGAATAATTACAAAAGTACATTAAATCACAACACTGACAAATATATAATTTACAGTAAAAGAATACTGATCACACTGATCTTTTGGTGATGTATGCTTAACAACCTTCATATAATCTAAAATAGCCTTCTGCACCAAAAAAATACCTTTCTCAATGATGCTTAAAATGACTTTCATTCTAAGTCAAAAACTATATTACAGCTTCAGCAAATCTTAACATGAAATTTAACAAGCTATAAATTTTGCAATTAATTCAAAGACCTTAAAAACAGTTTGGATAATATAAAAGAGAATAAAACCATTTTAACATGCAAATAATGTATCAAGAATCAGAATACACTTCAAAAAGCAATTTTTAGCTACTAAAGTATATAATCAAATTTAACATTATTTGATATGATTAGTTTGCATAAAATCTTTGCTTTTAAGAAATTTCCATATTTTATATTACTTTCAAAGGAAATATTCTGACTATGCAACAATTCTAGCTATCACAGGAAATTCAGATTGAACAAGCAATAAAATTTAAAATATGCTGATACCATAAATTTCAATGAAATCTTACACAACATGTTGTAAGAATGTTTATGATTTAAAAGGTAAGATAAAGCAATATACATGAATACTTTTATATGCAATTAGCAATATCAAAACAATTCCAATAAAATCTATTTTATGCAATCCAAAATTTAAACCCTAAATTTGCATTTCATTTTTAACAATGCATGCACCTATGTATGTCATTACATAAATATTTCATTTAAATCAACATTACTTTTCAATTCTTTACAAAACATTAAAATTCATGCTTAATCAATTCTGAGGAGAACTCAAGTTACATAACAATCACAAATATTTATAACTTTTGTATTCACAATTAGTATTCACATGTGTAAGCAAAATTATATATGAATTTAAAAATAAACCGAGAATCAAATATATAATAGAAATAGATAAAGATTTACAATCTTTCATATTCACAATGTTCTAGAATCTAGAACATACTATACAAAAGGCACTCTTGATCCATATTCTATTTATAATGAAACTGTCGAGCTTGGTTATTTGCTGTTGGATGAACCATATAGTTCTGATGTTGATTAAACCTGAAAAATAAATAAATATCGATTACGAAGATATAAATGTGTTTTACCTATGAATAAAATCTATACATCCTATTTTTTTAAGCAATACATTAAAGAACTCTGTGTATAACATAGTGTAGAATGTGTTTCTTTTGTTCAGGGGGTCTCCAAGCTATTTAGTCTAATGACCATGCTAATTCCTCCACTAAGTTCTAAGGACCAAAACTTAGCTAGCTCATTAAACCAACATACTGTACTTTTGAATTACATGTAAATTTTCATTTTGGAACTAGCCAGTGAGTGAGATATCCATGGCACGGGTGGACTCCACTTCATTTGCAATTTTGGTTGATGCTTATGGGTTAGTGTCAAGGACATGTCATTGCAGTGGAAATGCCATCTTGTGGGAAGTGGCAGAATTATGCAAAAATGCTAATTATGCTTGATTATGTAAAGTTTACAGCAACAAGCAGACCCAGAACACATGCTGGAAAAGTTCTGCTGCATAATCACTTGTCTGAAAGATTCAGGAAAAGTATCTAGAACACTTGAGTATGCTCTATTCACTGAAGATGCATGGTAAATATGGAAGACAACAAAGAGTTGGATAATTCCAAATTTTGAATTCAGAGCAAATAGTGCATTGTTTTTATTTGAAGTTATGTGCCTTTCGTTTGACTTTATATAAAAATAAAAATAATAAAAGATAGATAGATAGTGGGTGTAGAACATTTAAAGAGCAATAGGGATACCAATATTACATGATTGGATCAAGTAATAAGACAATGTGCATAATTTGCAATGAAACAATATTAGTCCTCAAAGAATACAATATAAAACATTATGAGAGTAAATATTGTCAAGATTATTCCAGATTCAATCTTATGGTCATTACTCAAGACAGCCTCATTTTGAAAATATGAAATGCTTAACAGCAAGAAGATCATATTTGAGCTATCAAAGAAGTCTTAGGCTTTATATTGACTATTGTGTTGAAACTGATATACTTTATAAAGCTGTAGACAGTAACAAATTACTTGTTCCAGAATCAATGCAACCCAATATAATTAAGGATGCACATCTTCGTGGACATTTCGCTTCTAAACGAACTGAAGAACTAACTAATCAAACATGAATTTTATATATCTAAACTTAAAGACAAAATTGATTACTATATTGCAAATTGTGTTCCTTACATATTAATTAATCATAAATGTCAAAAACAAAAAGATAGTTGCATTCTCTACACAAGCAGGATGTCAAACATATCACACTGATCATTTAGGACCACTTGAAAGCACTCATAAAAGTTAGATGTATATATTTTCTGTTGTTGAATCAATCACAAAGTTTGTATGCCTGATACCATAAATTTCAATGAAATCTTACACAACATGTTTAAGATCCATCAAAATCATCAAAATCAACTGACAATACTTAACTGTAATACTTAAACTGGAACATTAAAAATTCGTCTTTAGAAATCCTTTGCATATAATCTCCAATAAAAGTTCAGTATTTACTTTTAAAGATTTTCAAGATTATTGTTCAACCAACAATATCCAGAATATTCAAATTATTGCTAGACCACCTTGTGTGAATGGAAAAATTGAGAGATTAAATTCTAAATTCCAAATTATCAATTCTCTCCAAATTATCAATTCAGAATCCAATAAAATGATATACAAGTATCAGTGTAGTTCAGCAAGTGATTAATTCAACATACCAATGAAGTATTAATATAACTCCATTCGAACTGATGTTTGAAATTAAAATTAAATCTGCTTATCATGACAAAATTAAAGAGCTGTTAAGTGCAAAGAATGCAGTTAAATTCTGTCAATGCTCGTGATGATCTTTGCAAGGAAGCTAAACAACAGATTTTGAAAGTGCAGCCTGAGAACTGTAAAACCTACAAACTACTATGTAAACCATCTCGAAAGTTCCAGCTTCATGATATAGTGGCAATTAAGTATACACAATGTGGACCTAGTCTGAAATCCATGTTTCTCGAACCATAAAAGATCATGAAAATCCAAGCTAAATGACACTTATGATGTTGAAAAATGTGGTTTTTTCGACAAACCTATAAAAACAAACACTTGTACTGTTATCAGAAGATACTGATTCTACACTGTTTTCTTTTACCTATTTTATTTTAGTTTTTTTTTCATTTGTTTTTTAATAGTATTTTCAGTTTCAATGCTTTTTATATGCTACATTTCACTGTTTGCTATTGTTATCTGAGGGCAGATGATAATGTAGGATAGCCAAATTATGTGTAAAACGGCCCTGTAACTGTATGATGTAAGTGTCATGTGCCATCTAGACAAGTGTGCAGACCAGGCAATGACCGATGCAGACATATAATGTTGCAACAGAAATTCTTCTTCTTCTTTTCTTTAATTCATGTAAATAAATCTTAGTTTAGTAATAATTTGAAAAGTATTAGTGATGTTTTCCTCTATATATAATATAAAAAAACACATCAGTAATCCTGGAGTTATCTAAGTATGCATTCTGTAAACCTTTACATAATCTGAATTTTAATTAGACCATATTTGTAAATTGTTTTCTTACACAGTACAAGAAACAGCAATATTTATTTATATAAATACATATATTACTTATACAGTATCATTTTATAAATATTCTTACATTTTTAAATATTATTTTTTAACATTTATAATTATCATTTGGATTTATCATTTAAGCAATAAACAGTAACAAGGACTAAAAAAAAAAAAAAAAAAAAAACCCCCCCCCCCTTTTTTTTTTTTTTTTTTTTTTTTTTTGTGTTGTTGTTTTTGTCTTATTAATAGTAAAAATATCTGAATTTAACAGGTGCATTTTTAAAAAATTATATATACATCTATGGCAAAACAGATTATGAACTAAAATTCCTTCACCTTAGAAAATTTGCAGACTTAAAATAGCTGAACATTTATTGAAATAAATTCTCTAAACACATAATATTATAGAGCAACTACTACTTACATCCAGGTTGTAGCCCCAGGATTTATATATGAAAACGGCTTAGCTCTACTCATGCTGTTGAATGAAATATTACAGTTAGTGGTTAAAAATAATTGTTATGAGAATTATTATGCAATAAGTATAAATTGCATGCAAAATTTCACAGGAAAGGGTTTAAAAGAAGCAAGTTTTAAGTGCCTCTTGAGAAATTATAGATTGATTACATACATAAATTTGATAAGCAATCAATCAGCATAACAGAAATTCTTAGTCCTATTTATTACATTTAAATCACCTTGCACTACAAATAATTATCTAACAAATTATTTATTCCTAAAATTATATAATCTCAGAAACAAACTTTATTGAACTATTTAATTTTTATAATTTAAAATCATTGGCATATATTTTTATTTAAACTTACCAAATATGAATACAATTTTTTTTTTTTTTTTTTTGCAATATGAATACAATTTTTTTTTTAAATTTTAAAATAAGATCACCTAAGAAAATGATGCTTAAGATAAAAAAAAATAATAAATAAATAATAAATAAATATGTGTTTACAAATCTTATTGTAAACCTAGCTTGATCACAGCAGAAAATTTAATTTATGTTTATTTTGCATTTCTGAAATAATTTCCGATTGTTCTCGCATTTCAGAGCATAGTAATATGAATTTATGAAAACGAGTTGCAGATAAAATGCTCATTTTCAGGTCTTATCACTAAAATTTACAATTCCCAGACAAGATGAAATTGATATCATAGCATGAGTACATAATAAATTTAAGTGGTAGAACATGCAATCAATGTATCATATCAGCATTATTTAAGTGAGGTAAGTATTCTCAGGATTATATTAAGCAAGTTTTTATTCAAAGCATTAATAAATATTAATATTAATGGCAAAATTCATATGTATTACAAAAGAACCTTCATGCAGCATGCATTATTTAAATGCTCATTTGCTTAGTGTCCATACAGATTGCAAAGTTCACATATCACCTAAACTCTCATTCCAATATATCAAAATATTATTAAAATAAACATAAAAAAGCATGCAAGACAAAATCAAGCCTTAAACTTATCATAGGCAAAATTCAACCTTTACTGGCTTTATAGAAAAAAATATATATATATATGATTTTTTAAGAAGACTGATATAAAGTTCCTTTACTTTAACAAGTAAAAAATATTCAGTGCTGGAGATTGAAAATATATCACTTAAAGATCTGACATATCTCTTTCAAGCCAACAGCACATAATAATTTTGACCTTTAAAGAACAGAATTCCCCCTCAATGTCTACTGAAAATTTGTTGAGTTAGTCCATAAAACCAATACAAATAGAAGACTGAATTTTACTTAACAATGTACCATAATCCATAAAGACCTAAAAAGCCAAAAATTAATAAAGAAACCCACCAGAACCAATTAAGAATTACAAATTAAAATACTCATTTACCAATCTTATGACCAGATTGCTATAAAATTGTGCAATGATTAGATTTGCCTGATTAGATCATCAATTTGTAAAAACATCAGTGACGACATAAATAATGCATTATGCAGTTATATTTTAGTGCTTAACTCAAAAAACAAAAAATCATATGAAAATTAGATGCATATATATTTTACCAAGAGACATATATTGAGCCCAATGGAAGGTAAATACTATTAAAATTTAAAATGTGAATCAGCATTTTGCTCAAGTCTGGATACCACATCTAATTACATCACCTAATTTATTTAATTGTTTGCACTGAATTTTTCCTGACAAGTGTCTCCTTCAGGAGCCAAACAGAAGCCAATAATTATTTGATGCAATATTTCTTTAATGCAGTGTGGAAGTCTGTGGGAATAATTCAATGCAGATTTCTTTATGCATAAATTATTATGAAGCAGACAAGAGACACACTATGACAATATGCTAAAGTAAAATAAGCCATGACATTTTAACCTGGCTGAGGTTTTGGATCATTCTTTGGATTACTCAATGCAGATTTCTATATTGTAGTATAAATTACTATGAAGCAGACATGAGACATACCATCATATGCCAAAGTAAACAAGCCATGGCATTTTAACCTGACTGAGGGTTTGGATTATTCTGAAATGGATCAGAATATGATTTGCAATTAATAGCACTATTCTGAACATGTAACGTTCCTTTGGCTTTTATAGTTCCAAAAGTCATAAACATCAATATTTCATAACAAGACAAGTTGTAAAATTTATTTGGTTGAATGCCATCATTTGTTGCTGTTGTCTCAGTCTCTGATAGAAACAGACGAAAAAGTGAAAAAGCATTTATCACCAAGGAATATATAAATTGCAAGAACAACAGCCTCTTCATTTAACTTTATAACAATAAACAATATTTCTCAAAAATCCATATCTCATTCTTTCAGTCTGGATAATGAGCTGTTTTGGAGCCGATCCAGCGAGACTTACAGTACTACTGTAAATCTCCTATGGCATAATGGCCAAAGACATGACTGAGCTTCAGATTTCAAACTCCCTCTCCAATTGCTTCCCATTGGTTTTCCTGTAACATTCAGTCCACTGTAGCAACTTGAACAGTTGAAGTGAGTTATACCAGTCAAAGGCTAACACTCTATGTTTAAACCTCCTGGTCATTCATTTTATTTACATATCATATTTAAATTAGGATAATAAGTCTCTCTTTTTACCTACTTGAACTAAAGCAGAACAATGTGCCTGTAATTTGAATTTTTATTGTTATATTAATGCTACTTTTCTTTATAAAACCAATGTTTCCAATTCTAAATTTCTCTCATTACATATAAAATTTCTCTATACTTCAAAAAATTTAACAATTAAAACAAATCAGTTCATCTATAGCTCAACATAAAATATCAAGGCAAATTTATTTTATTAATGAAGGCATAATAACTAACTACACAAATATTAAACTCTTAGTAAAAAAATGCTAAAAGATCAAATAACAAAGCTGACAGAAATACACATGAAAAAGAGGAATTTGTTTGTTAGAACAAATTCCTCTTTTGCTTGAACTGATCGATTTGGAAACACTTTTGTGTTTTGTTTTACTATATCACTTTCCTCGGAACTAAAAAAAAAAAAAAAAAAAATAAAATGCTTATTATATTGAGTACAATTTTTTAGATAAACAGAAATGTAAAAATCTAGTCTAAGTTAAGAATATAAAACATAAAGTAGAGGTAAAATTTATCAGGCTTCAAAAAATAAAAATTATTTCTTAGGACTGTTTTAAATAATGAAATAGAGCTTTAGCTATTAATATTCATAAATAAATAATTATTAAAAACAGAATGTTAAAAATTTCAAAATATTAATAGTTAAAATATTTATACACTGGTAGGATAAAATGGGGGGGGGAAATAAACAAGTAAAGAACATACCGGGAAGAAAGAGATGACAATGGACATTACTTTGAACGAGAAACTAGATACTATAACAGCCTGATGCATACTGGAGAAGCCAAACAACAAGAATCAGCAACACACTTGCAAATTTTGCAGGACTAGTTTTGATGGCCCAACCACAGAACCATCCTCCTCAACTGCCCAAAAGCATGTTTTTGCATGACTTGAGAACTATGGCTTGATCAGTTGAATGGGATTACATCATACTGGCAGACATAAGAAATGGGTGTGGATTTATGTGATTACACAAAGCCTTGAGGGCTATCTGCCTAAGGGGAAAGATGCCTTTGTGGAGGATTTTATAAGGGAAACTGGATCATACAGACATTACATATGAGGAAAGTGAAGAAAATGTCTGCATAGCCAGCCCATTTGCAGGATTCAGACCAAACTATTGGTATTCAGTGACTAACTGTTCGGCCGCTAGTGGGCCCAGACATAAGAAAAAGGATTAAAACCAAAAATCAACATAATGTGGATTATTCTCAGTTGTTTAAAAACATGGCAATTCAACAATCGTCTTCTTCAAATTCTAAACTCCAGAACATAACTGGAAAATTTCAGAAAAGCATCTAGCAATCCATGAGTATTTGCCAAAAAATATTCATCAAGTGAAGAAAAAAACTGACAGAGAAATGCAAGAGATAACTATCAAAACTCATCAGCAACTTTATGTAAAGTATGGGCAGATATTATACATTATGTCCATGCACATTAGAATTATTCTGTCACAGATAACAAACAGCTTCTGCTACTCAGATATTCAACCAGTGAAGTATAACACAGTAACAAGTGTTATACAGCCATTTCTTCATATAGTGGCCATATATCCTTCCATATCAACTGTTTTTATTTAATTATATTTTATAAGCTCTTTCCATTGTTATTTTCATGTATAATTTTATATCAATACTAGAAACTTCAATGTGGTATAAAATTTTCTATATTCAGGCTTTTGCTAAACATTACGGATCAAAACATTTTGCACTACAGTGTGTAATTGATGAATGCATTCCAGTGCATACAAAAAAATACTTATATAAAAAAGAAATATTCGTATGATGTAGGATTGAATGTTAATAATACAAATAAGCATGCACTTAATGAAAAATCACTTACTCTTCCAATGGAATGGCTTCTCCAGAATCATGACTGAAAAAGAAAAGACATTTGATATGCCTATATAATATACTCACAAACATATATATACACAAACATATGCATGTATATACACATATATAAGGTTATTCAAAATGTTATTAACAAATTTAAGGGATATAAGTGCGAGTCTGATTAAGTAGCTTTGGTGTGAAAAATGAACCTGCATCAATAAAAATCCCCAAAATGAAGTTATACAATGCATAAGTATAGATACTATGAAATAATCTTACTAAGTAAACTTAAAAAACGAAAGTTCCCTTGCTATGTACTAAGTATGAATTTTTTAAAACAGCAAATATATATTTCAATAAGGTCACTGAATCATAAAGCAAGATTCTGTTAACCTTCAAACACTCCAGGCATTTTCTAAACTAAACCGTAATATGTTTTATAAGTACTAAGGTCAGAAAAATTTTATAAAGATGTCTGCCATTGTTTCATTTATAATGCTCCTCACATACATAAAGTAATCAAAATACATCATGTTGGGCATTAGCTGGAAAATCAGCTTATGAAATGAAACAGATCAGACTAAGCATACCTTGTGACTAAAGAAAGCATTATATTATGATAAACATCTAATAGAAATCATTTATTTGTCACAGAAATCTAAGCATTAAATGTACAACCACATTAGAATATTAAACTCAGAAATTGCTATTGGGTGAATTTAATTAGTAATAAAAGTTAATGCATAGAAAAAGACATTTAATTTTTAGATTTTGACCAGAAATTATTCCGAATGAGTTTTGAGGAAAGATGCCAAAATTATATACAAAAATTATATGTTTTACAATAGATATGAAGAGAATGAGTAATAAAATGTTTAATTCTATTAAAAATTCTGTTTCCCATTATTATGATACAATTAAGGCAAATTCCTCAACATCGGCTGCAATCTTTTCCGAACATCTTTTTTGTGCTTAACATATAACATTTATTTAAAACAAAAGCCCCCCCATCCCTTTTCAATATAAATTTTAAGTACAGTTTATTGAAATTTTGTCTAGGCAAGCTTGGCCTGGATTTCAACAATTGGAAGAAAAAAGGCGAAACCTTTTTTCGCAATTCAAAAATTTGTAGGTAGTTTCTTTAGTTTTCAAAATTGAAAATTTCATTTGAAATTAAAAAGATTCTACGAGTCAGCAGATTTTAATAATATTCCACTTATCATTTGTGAAATAACACTAAATATTTAATAACTTTAATTCAATACAAGCGCCACATTTACCTTCCCCCCCCCAAAAAAAAAATTTTTTATTCTAAAGTCAATCTTTATTACAACTTCATTTACCATAAAATATACATTACTCTCAAAATAAGATTCTGCTTTAATCTAGATATCCATTAAATGTCACCGAAGTGTGCATTGCAGACTGAAATATAACTCAATAACCATTATAACAATAACCTCTTACTAATCATTATAAGGTGAAATTTTAGAAAAAATTTTACAAAAAAAGGTAATTTACAAGGTAATAAACAAGGTAAAACACTTTTGGTGTTAAACTGTCATCTGAAATATCAAATTAGAAGGTCACTTGCATTTTACTAATATAAAAAAATAATACAATCACTCAACTCTTAGCTATGAATTCTTAGTTTACAAACATATAAATTTTACAGTGTCCCAAAAATTTTTTATGAAAATGCACTCTTTAATCAAGTAATGCAAGTTAAAATGGTAATAGTGTTTAAATAATTTTTATACTGTTACTGCCATGTACATTTATAAAATACTACATTTCTAAATCCTCCTTTAAAATTTATACTGATAAACAGGTTAAAATGATACGTACATATATGGGTCATCATCGTATTTCATTCGCAAATAATATCTGGATAACTTAACAGAAAAGAAGATGGTAGGAATAATAAATATAAGAGCCCAGCCTAATCCAAACCAGAAGCCGTTCTGAAAAGTAACAGAAAAAATTATAATTTTCCACATTTTAAAAATTCATCAGAACTAACATTTCACTAAAAAATAGTTGAATTTATAAATGCAGGTTATTTTTTTATAATACATGTATAACTCAACCAAAATAAACTTCATACATTACAACTACATACATTATAATTGGTTTAGCTGTTTATTACAATTTATGCACAGGCTCCAGCATTTTTGACTTATTAGGCAATCAGTACATTTAAAATCCTTATTTAATTAAACATGTTTATGTTTCAAATCATAATATACTTTTTAACACTTGCAATTTATCTTAAATTTAATCTTATAAATCTGTGTGCTTTTTGAGGGGGGGGGACAGATGACATCAATTATGTCATTAGCTGAGCAACACCACTTTCAATAGCCAGAAATGCAAGGGAATTTCAACTTTTCTTGGCTTAAAACGATTTCAAACATAGTTTATGAATTATACGAGCATATATGAATGCAAGGTGCAACTTCTGGTATTTTTGCCCATTTTTGAAATAAGATACTGATAAGACTGAAATATAACTCAATAAGTTGAAAGTGTCACCTCTTCAGTGTAAATATCAGACTTGTGGCTGCTTACCATATTTTCAATAACCATTTGTATTAAAGTAACTTACAGACTTTTACAATTTTCCACAAGTAAACTCATGTTTAGCCTTTACTTAATTATAAAGAAATTCATCATGTCAACGCTGCTCAAATTATTCTTTCACTGACAAAACTGTTTGTTCTACATGTAGACTGAAAAATTATTTAACCTTTTCTGGACCTTTCGGAGTTTCATCAGTATATAAATCTAACATTAGTTTCATTGAATTTAAATGGTTTTGAATATGAGCTCATATGATGTTTCTGCCAAAACTTTACACTTTAGTCAAAGGACTTTATCCTCATAACACTATCCTTACAAAAAATTAAAAAATTTTCTACGTCTTTTAAAAACCGCAATTTCACATTAAGATATTCAAAAAGTGTCTTCCTGGGTATCATACTTAATGTTACTGTACAAAGTTTAGTACATTTCATCTATGTTCTTATACTGGAATATCTTTCCTTTTTGACAGCAACTCAGCTGGAGTTCTCTGAAAATTGGCACTACAGTGGCTTATAAAACACTTTCCATTTTATTCAGCATACATAGAATTAGAATGCATATTGCAGCACAGTGTAGTCATTCATCACTCACACTGAGCACAAAACATAAATCATCCACTACTTTTATTAATATTACTGAATTAGGAAAAAATGGAACTTATTAACTACAATATATTGAACTCAAAACTTACAATTGGATCAACCACAAATTCACAGATAGCAGTGCGAGCAATGTCAAAAGCAAGCCAAAATGGATAACATTTCCCAACATTTTCCATCTGAAAATTAAAATCAATAAACGGCTGTTTCCAAAATTTCAAATAAAATGTTTAAAACAAAGAGAAAAATTAAATAATTACAGGAAGCATGAAAATTATGACGTGATTTTTGATACTGAAAATCAATAAAAATGTTTCATGCCATGCAAATTAAATTACACTAAATAACTTAAAGAAGTTTATTATTCCTTCTATTTACTTTTTGATGTTCTCATTTTCTCCATTTTTAAAATGAAAATAAAATATGATTTAAACTTTGAAATACACTTCAAACTGAAGGAATTAAACACATAAAACAGTTACAAAATACAGATGCAGGACAAAATAATGTGAACACCTGTGAAAAAGTATGACGTATTTCACACCTGAAGTATAGCCGTGCCACCTGCAAGAGAAGTCTGCCACCTACTGAGTGTGAAGAGGAAGGTATCACTCTCTCAACAGCAGTCACCTGTGTTGCATGCTTTGATCGAACTATCTGTGAGAAGTTGAAATGTCAGACCTGTCAGAGTTCCAAAGAGGAATGATAGTTGGAGCGCGCTTAAATGGAGCATCGGTTACGGAAACAGCAAACCTTGTGAGTGTGCAAGAAGTATGGTATCAGTCATTATGACAGCATACACAAAAGAGGGTAAGACAAAATCTTCAAAGCACAACAGTGGCCGAAAGTCAAAGCTGGCTGATAGGGATAGATGGGTCTTGAAGCACACAGTATCCTGAAAGCAAAAGCAATCATTATCCGAGATAACATACGGAATGAACAGTCATGAACAGTCATCTCCAGGACCCCGTTTCAATAAAACTATCAAAAGGGAACTTCATGCTGCAAACATTTATGGCAAAGTGGCAATTCGTAAACCCATGTCCGGAGAATGCCCAAAGAAGCGTTTCATCCCGACTGCCTCTTGCCGACTGTGAAACATGGGGGGGGGGGAGGAAGCACCATTAGGGTATGGGGTGCGATACCTTGATCCGATCTTGGGCCACTTGTTGTTCTGCATGGGAGGATCGCCCAAAATCACTATCTAAGCATTCTAGGGAAACATGTCCATCCTTTTGTCCAGACTGTATTCCCTGGGGAGCGACCGCTTTTTCAAGACGACAACGTCCCTATCCACACTGCTAGGTGTATTCAAGAATGGTTCAAAGAGCATGACGATGCAATTGAACATCTTGCTTGGCCCCCATCAGTCTCTGGACTTCAATATTATTGCACATTTATGGGCATATTTGTAGTCCAAACTTCGTTTTCGATTTCCACCTCCATCCGGACTTTCGGAAATAGAGAATGCTCTGCAGGAGGAATGGCTTAATATTTCTTTAAATATCGTCCATGACCTTTGTGCATCTATCTCATGTCGCAGTCAATCTGTACTTCAATCTGTACAGTCAAAAGGTGGTCCAACCCCCTATTAATAAAGATTTTCCATTATTTCACAGATGTTCATATTTCATCCTCCATCTGTAGCTACTGGCTCTAAGGCAATGATTTTCAATATTCCATCAGATAAATCATGAAAAATAGCCCTAAGAGACCGATTTTTCTCGTGCTTTTTTTATATTAATTATTACTAGCATTTCAAATTGTAATTATATTATTTTTATGCATTGATTTTCTATATGGAAATATACTGAAAATATGCCTGTATATTATTTAATAACAGTTTAAAGCTTTTGAACTTCCTTTTTTAAAACAAAACGTAAAAAACAACTGTTGTATTCAGGATAATCACTCCAGTCAATACCTTACAGTGAATACATGACAAATAGTAATTAATTGCTTTTTCTGAGAACATCTTATTCATGAAGATTTATAATGAAAAATCAGGAAGTAATGTGATTAAATGTTAAATAGCTTTCAATGCAGCATATTTTAAAACTTTAAATTCCTGATCAGTAATTTAAATGCAGGGTCGATAATTATACAAATATATTCAAATTCAGGAAAAGTATTTTAAATAAATGGTCTGTTACATTTTATTTTAAGAATAAAAGTTGCTGTTATACATATAATGCATCATTTTGTTAAAATATTTTACTATGTTTAACATTTGGAACACATTTATTCTAATAGTTTCTATTATTTCTTAATTTTATAATTTCACTACAACTAACTATTTGGAAAGGAAATTCCCTTTCTGATATTCTTATTTAACTCTACCATTTCTTATTTCAAATTTGAAATTGCTTAATCTTAAGCACCTTCAAAATTATAAAATGCTTCTAAGCAGCGAATTATTTTTGAAATATCCTCTTTCTTCCAGCAGAAAAAATATTTTTTTGTTTCAAAATTTATTACCTTAATACCTACTCCTTTATAATCACACATACTATTTAATTTTTTAGAAGTTTTAATATGATATTGAAGATTCTGTATGTGGCCGAATTTCTCCGACATAAAGGAATTAATATTTCATACATTAAATAGAATGCAAACTTCTTGAGCAATTCAAAATGAATTAAAGAAGGACTAAAAAACAACTTCATCAAGTAATATTACATAACTTTTCTCTTTATAAAAAAATTATTATAATTATTTTATTCATATGCCTTTCTGCAAAATGGAGCTAAATTTGAATTAAATGCATACACATGCTAACATGCAATCAAAATGAACAAAATATTTTACTTATTCAAGTGCATTACTAAATACTTTTAAGTAAATTTAAAATTTGAAATATTACATTAAAAATAATTAAACATGGTAATTTTCCACTAATATAACTACTCTATAATACCTGAGTATGAAAATGAACTTCCACTTCTATAAAATTGCACATATACATCAAATATGTAAGGTTAAAAAACCTTAAAACTATAAATAACTTACTTTATCTGTTAAACCACTAGAGGAAGCCACAGCTTGAAACAAATGCTAAAGAAATAAATGTATAAGATCAGCTTCGGATTATGTTCTTTTTGTCACTTATTTTCAGATATTAACATTAATATATTCATTATCAGAATTTATGAAAAGAGCAGAAACCTAAACTGCTTTTACCAAATTAAATTAATCAAAATTGCAAGTCCTCCGAGATATATGCACATACAATAAAATTAAATAACTAAATTGTCAGTAGCAACAGTTTATAAAATATATATTGATGACATATCTTAGCAAAAATATGTCTGAATGACCAACTTACAGTTTTGATAACCTTTGGTAATCTTTCTTCTACATCATTCAAGTTTTCTTCTATTTCTCTTATCTTAGCCTAAAAGAAATTTTAAAAAAGGGGGAAAAGAGCAATAAGAATACTATACAGAATTCAAAACAAAATATATGAAACAGTATTTTAAAAGAATTGCCCTACAGAAAAATAAACACACACACAAAATCTTTTGAACTATTCCAATTTCAAAAAATTGCTACAAAACTAGTTAAATAAGGAAAAATTAATACTGTCAAATACCGAAAATCTGCTGACCTGAAATCCGCTAACTCCTAAAATACGCATTACCTACCTCTCAAAATATAAGAATTCAGTTTATAGGTTCTGGAAACCACAATATTGATTACGAAATATCGAAGAAAAAATACTTACTGAATAATGACGTCATAATGGAAATACCAAATTATTGACATCATGATAAAAGTTTTTCCCCCTCTAATCTGCATCGAGGCAAAAAAGCAGATGATTCACTCAACTCTTCTTTCAAGTTCACGATTCACGTTGTTGGATTTTCTGAGCTTTGTTATTTCACGAGATTATTTAGTGCTGCCTTTTTTTTATGTGGATATTTTGTGGATATTAAAAAGAATTAAGAATATTTTAATATTTTTTAATTTTCAGCCCTTTTTAATACGTACAATGAAAAATAAGAAACTCATGATTTTAATACTTGCAACATTGAGAAACGTAAACAGGTTGCATTGACAGTAATGCAAAAAAGTGCAAATTCTGCAAAAGATGGAGGCAGGTGCTACTCCTCGGTTTAGAGCAGAATCGTATGGAATTGCGACACGATTTTGTATGATATACGGAAAAATAAAGAAAAGCTGTTCAAATTTTACAGCAACAGTGATTCTAACCCTGGAATACGAAACCGGAAATCTTTGCATGAGGCGAAATCGGCAAACCTCGATGCTGTGTACATATAATACAACGAATAATATAATCAATTTATATACATAATACCATATTTGACGGCCTATAAGACGCACATTTTTTCCTAAATTTGGTCTCAAAAAAAGTTACCTGCTTCTTATATGTGAAGGATACAGGTTAACTTTCAATACTGAATGCTATTTTTAGCCTGGATAAAGGTCTAGACACACATAATTTTTTCTACATCTACATGTGTGTGGCCTTCTAAATAAGGGTGCGTCTTATATGCCAGTGCATCTTATATGCTGTCAAATACGGTAATAATATAATGCATATAATAAATTATTGCAATAATGTATATAATAATTTAATTAAATGTATTTAATATGCCTTATTTATTTTGCACTTTTAGTCTGAATATTATGATTTATCTATTCTGTCCTGAAATCCGCAAAATCTAAAATCTGCACATCTGGTCCCAAGCTTTGCAGATTTCTGGACTTCTACTGTATCAGCTTTCAAAAAAGCAAAGTTCAAAGAAAAAAAAAAAAATGTATGCAACATATACACACATATATATGTATACACAGAAAGAGAGATTTTCCATGTAAGAAGGGTACTCAAAAATAACTAAAAATATTAAGTAATTATACTTTCTTATTATGATTCCCTTCAAAGTGTTCTTTACCAAAACAAATACATTTTCCCCAATGTTTTGCACACTACTGAAAACACATCATTGAATTGTTCTTTTTACTCATAGAGTTGTTTTTTGAGTTTATTTATAGGTGGATATAAAAGAAGAAAAAAAAGGTCACCCTATAATAGAATATCTGGTGAGGATCAGGAGACAGACATTAAGCATCATGTTGTTTTTCCCCAAAAATAATGAATGACAACGACAAGAATTTCTTTAGAAATCTGGAGAACAGTCTTTCAAAGATTCTCATTGATAGCCTCAATATTTGTCTCATCTCTTTTTTCTCACTGACATTCTCAATATTTGTCTGAACACTAGCAATTTATTTAAAGTATCATCATTAAAAGTTTTCTGAAGTATAATTGTCTCTGTGGCAGTTTCTGCTCAACAACAAACAAAAAAAAAAAAAAAAAAAAAAAATTTTCCTGCCCACATTTTGCTTTTGATGGTTCCCATATCATAAAAATGGCAGGATGATGCAAACAGGAAAAAATGCAGATCGGTACCGAAGACAAAGTGCTATACTCAGATTGATTTCACTAGCAAATAAACATAGGAAATTCTAAATTACAAGGCATTGAAGCATGACACACAGTCAGGAAATGCTTACTTGCAATGCTGACATTCCAGGTATTTATGGTTCCCTTACAAATATGTATTTATATAAGAAGGGTAGAACAGAGAGAGACAAAGAGGCAAAACATAAAATTTTACCTTATAATTTTCTGCTTCACTGTATATGTTCAACAAAGTAGTGGAAAAGTTATCCTAAAAAAATTAAGAAAGTCATTATGATACATACACAAAGTAATAATGAAGAAAATGCTAGAATTCTCAAGACAAATATGCTAGTATAAAATTTAAAATTAAGAAAAACAGCAACCTTATTTTAGCATAGTTTCATGAGCAATCAGACACAAATTGTTCTTTTTCAAGTTCTTTTCTCAGGAAGAAGAGAGACTTGCGTCCAATTGCCTCAAAATCGATAGTTTTATTTAAATTCGATGCCAAAATCTGGTTATTGTTTTGCTTAAGTGTAAACACAAGAATTCTGTTTGTTTTATACAGACTGAATTTTGTTATCACTACAATAACTTATTTAATACTTTTTAAAAATAATAATGTAATACACAATAATTACATAATAAAAGGATATTGCATTTTCATGTTAATTCAAACATTAAAAACTTCATAATAAATTCATATTTTGACAAGAATAATCAACATGAACAATCTTTTTTATTACTACAAAAAATTTCTACTTTCATATTTAACAATTTAACTTCTCTTTCAGCAAAACAAATGCATAGACAAGAATTTACATTGCATAAAACCGTTTTCACAATTGCTATAAGAATGCTATACTGCTTAAAATTATTAGCTGTTTTTAATACCAGTTCACATGCGATTTCCCGATAGTATAATTTTTTAATCCATAAGATCATTTTAGAAAATGATATTTAACAAACATATAAAACTGAAAATAGCAAAAAAAAGGTACTTTTCCGTTTCGCCGTATCGCTTAAAATTTTGTAAAAAATTAATAAATTAAGACAATAAATTTGTATAAAGACATTAAGAATTTATTATGCTTTCATGGTTCAACAAGCTGATTCGCCGGTTCATATCACGTGACCTTAAGTGATCTCATCTTATGAAAACTACACTACAAATATTTAATTCTCTCGGTAATTATCTACATTAATTTCAAGTTAAATCTTAATTTGGAAGTTATTTCAATTCGTACGAATAGCTTACTGAGAAATTATGTAAAACTGCAGTGCTTTACTTCGCTAGTGTATTCTCATTAGAATTGATGAATTTAACCCGACTTTGCTTTTTCTACATTTTTGCCTTTGGGTGAGAGGTGTGATTGCATTCTAATTGATTTAATAACTGTGAATGGCCTTAGAGCATAAAATTGTACTAGCTCGTAAAAATTCTATGTAACTGTACGCCAGTATTGAAAGAACCAATCAATCTGATAAGAAATGGCTGCGACTTGTTTTGAAAATGAGGCATAAAAGGTTGCCAGTGAGGATATTAGGTTTGGCATCAGTTGTAACATTATTGGCGACTTATCGCTTGCACTGGCAAAACAAAAAGTACCCCCCCTCCAAAAAAAAAAACAGAACATACTAAATTTGCAATTTTTTTAGATTAACTTACCAGCTTTTTCTCAAATTCATCAACTTCACGAAAAAGATCTGCTGCAGACGCATCAACAAATTGAAGACTTTCAGACACATCTTCATTTGTATCTTCAGCTAATGCTGGTTTTATATCATTAATAAAGGCTGATATATTTGCTTTTGAGCTTCGAAGAGATTCTTGTAGCTACAATTAAATATAATTACAATACTTTATCAGGAATAAAATTTTATGGTATCAAATGAGAATTATACTATATTATTTAAGCTGATTAAGTTTTAAAACTCTTCTGTTGAAGGAGATTCAAAATATGCTTTCAGCGCATTAAATGCAATTATATAAAACATTTTTTTAAAATATTTTTATTCACACAAAAAAGGAAGGCATGAATATTTAACATTCATTTAAACTAAGAGAACTAAATTTTTTTCACAACATTAAGAAATATTTATTGCTAGCATTAAGAACTGAAATCCCAGCAAGCTGACAAATTTTATAATTTTGATAAAATAACTAATTTGTTTCCATTGTATTAGCTATTATATTAGACTTAATAAACAAAGAAACATGAATGTCTGAAAACATATTTTGCACTACACAGTTTTTGAATGAATAAATACAAAAGCAAAATTTCTATTAGTATACTATACCAAAAGAATTTAGAGTAAATTTCCTATACTACCACAAAATATAATTCTATGCTTGTATTAAAATTAATATTTGATCATTGATGCAATATTTGATTGATTTTACTTTACTATTCAATATATTAGTTATGTTTTAATAAAAAAAGATAAATAAATGAAATGAAATTTGTAATATGTTTAATAAAAAGACAACATGTTTTTATATATTAACCTTCTGAGGTAAATCTTTCATTTCTTTAAGGTTCAAGTCATTTGTAAATTGGTGGAGTTTCTCTCTGATTTCAGACGTTATTTCTAAAAGTGCCTTCTTCAACTTTTCATCAATTTCATCACTATTACCAGAGTCTATCTTGCTTAAAAATTTCTAAATGAGAAAACAATAAAAGATTCTGAAGTCAAGAAAAAAAGAACATTTCATGATATTAAAAATTCATTTTATATTAATAATTTTATATGCAATATTCATAATTACAATCAATCAATATCAAATTATGTCAATGAAAGAATATGAAATACTTCACTGATTTTTTAAATACATAAATACTCTTGTAAAAATATTTTAAAAAATTACTTTCCTATGGAAATATATACTTTATTCCCACAATGCTCTACAACAGAAGTTCTCAAAATATGCATTATGCAGTATCATAAAAGTTATTGGGAAACATAATGGCCCTTATTAGATGACTGGAAATTTTTAACTTTACAGACGATATTATATACTTTTGATGCCTGTGTATTTCAAAGTGCCTCAAGTCTATTCACTACTTTTTCAATTAACTTTTTGATTAATTATACGTAAACTTATTTTAAAAGGTATTTCTTCATTTTAGATAATCCCAGGAATCTTTCAGCTGCAGTTTTCAGTGACTTAAATTTTTACTCAAGTGATGAGAACCAGAAAAAACTTCAAATGATCAAAAATATTTGAGAAACCTTGCTCTGGAAATCATTCATTATCTTATCATTAGCTCTAAAGGATGACATAATTTTGAACATTTGAATAGTAAGACTTGCAAAAGAAATTCAAACTAATTACTCTCATATTATTTCCAGCTGTCCAAGATTTTACAAGTTAATCAACATTATTTACAAGGATTTGAAGGCTAAACAGGCTAACTTTAATGGTAATCTAATTTGCTAATTACTTTTTAACAGTAACAGAGTGATATGCTGACATATTTTAACATCTAAAGCAAATCTCAATACTGCATCCCCTAAATACTATATCACTTTCATTATATCATATTTATCATACTTTGAATCCTTTTTCATTTACAGCTAATGAAAATACTTCACCCTATCCTCAACACAGAGTTCTCCCTATAGATAATGTTGTTACCAGGTTTAATTCACTATTACTGAAGTGTTTCATGTTTTGCTGATGGTATTCATGTATACAGGTAAGATATAAATAAATCTAAGGCGGGTGCCATACATGCATAGTGAAAGACTTACTTTAGAAAACGGATGTCACATATACATGTTTCACCGCAGAGTCCATGCCGCTAATAATCGACATGTAAACATTCTACACTCCTCACCCCCTATACCTAATATAATATATTTTTTCATATCTTGATTTTCAGAATAAGAACCAAGTAACCTATTTTATCACTTTATTAATGAGAAATATAAGAGCATAAGTTTCAAAAACTGCAAACAAAAGTACTGTGATGTAGATCAAGCATCTGCAGCAGATACTTTTTCCTAGGCTATTTTATTTATTTATTTTTAAAACTTTCCTTCATTGCAACATTTTCTCAAACAATACTTTTTTACCTGTAACAGATATCATAATAGATACAAATGAATGAAAGCAAAGGTTTTAAAAAAATCTACATTCTCTGTCACAAGAAGATATTTTATTTTTACTGCAATAGTTAGACAATAATGAAAATGCAAAGAATAGTAAAGATTAAGGAATTGTATCTCTGAATCAAATGATTAAATCAATTCCACTGTTCAAAAACAGTGTCAATAGGTGACACATATACACATAAAGACTGATATATATTAAGATATACATCTTAATATAAATTAAATACATTTTAATATATTAAGATATACATCTTAATATAAAGACTGGTTCACTATTATAAAGAGGAGATAAAAGGGAAAGGATTCCCTTCTCAGAGCTCCAGGATTAAATTCTGTTGTTATATTACCTGAACTAGGTTTTATATATCACAGTGAAACATATAATTCATTAAATATATTTTAGTTTGTAAAAAGCAGCATTTTTCTAAAATATTTCAAATTTAGTAATAGTAAGGAAGTATTTAATCTTATGTTATTAAATAAATTATGCTCCACAAAAAGAACATAATTATTTTACACTACAAAAACATGATTTTTATGGCCTTTTTTAAATTACATCAAGCAATAAAACTGCACTGTCCTTTAGAGTGAAATTCTTTATGAAGGTCCCCATTTCCATAAAGCACCCCCTTTTTTTTGTATGCAAAGCTTTATTTGTTCTTTTGATAATGTTACATTTATTAAAAGAAAATTTCTGCATTCTGAATACAAAATATTCTGCAAGTTAAATTCAAAAATAAAATGATTCGCATAAAAATTGAAATTTCATCAAACTTTGATATTAATTAAATGTAAATTTAGATATTTCATTATCCATGCACACCTTAGAAGAGAACTGAGAAAAAATAATTTATTTATAATTTTCAGAAAACAAGTACTGTGATAAAAATACATCCAACAATTTTATTATAACAATAGTTAAGCTCTTCAATAAAGTTCCTTTCAGAATAAAAAATTCATCCTATAATCCCCCCTTCTCCTCAAGGAAAGGGATAATAAGTAACAAGGAAAAATTGAAACTAAATGATCCAACTGAAATTATTGCCTTTATCCGTGTTTTTATTGCACACTTTTAAATATGAAATTTACATTTGTATATCTGAAGATTTTAAGCCATTCGTATTTTTTAAGCAAATATGTGTAAAAGTACTGTGATATAAACACTTACTCCTGGATCAGATGTATTCAATCCCAGAGCCACAATTATACCTTTATTAGCATTGCAATCCCTGAAATCAGAGTAAAATATTTTTCTATGTGTTAAACCTTAAAAGCTAGTCTCATAAAAAGCAATATAATTTTACACTATATAGCAGAAAATTAAATATTTAAAGAATTAAGGAAAATATTTTGCACATAACCTTAGTACAGTTTTAAATAAAATTCTGCATTTATTGAAAAAAACCTGATAAATATATTTAACAAATTAAAATTTCAATAAATTATTCAATTATGCTGATCATGTAATATTTAGAAAAACTAGTAGGAATGCTGCACATGAAATACTCCAAAAAAATATGCTTTTTTTTACGGATCAATATTCTCTGTTACATTCTTGTCAATTTATCTTTTTTTTAATTACTGAAAAACATTTCCAAATGTTCATGCATTTTTTTTTTTTTTATTTTCATCAAATACAGGAAAAATAAAAGAGATTTTCAAATATTCAAAATTACTTTCAAGCACAAAATTCTCTATTATTAAGTACATAATGAATGTTTCCTTAGGAAGACAAGCAGACAAAATACAATGTAGTATTTTTATACGATTTACTTATTACATGTTAATATCTGGAAACGGTTACCGCCGAAAACATCGCGGACGAAGACGTCGCAGAGAAAACAATGCAAGGCGAAAACGTCGTGCTACAAAACATCGTGGGAGAAAACATCGCAGTTCTAAAACATCGTCGTCTAAAATAAAGCGGTTCAGAAACTTCGCTGTTTGAAAACATTGTCGTCGAAAATATCGTGGTAAAAAATAAATTATCTACAAATCATCGCAGACATGCTTTTGTCAGGCTTTAATAACTGTGAATAGATATTCCCATAATAATTTGCGAGTGCAAGATGTAAAGAAGGATAATTTTTACTTTCACATTTTTTTTATTAACTAATAAATTTTTGCTGAAAAAGTAAGAAGAAAACATAAGCATAGCAAATTAATGCAACTTATAGCTTTTTCTGAAAACTTACCAGTAAAAACTTTAAAAAAATGATTTATTAATGGTCTTTGCTAGTTAACTATGTCGGTTTAAAATTCTATTAAGTGCTATAAGTAGCATTAATTTTCTATGCTTAAGTTTCCTTCTTATTTTCTCAGCAAAAATTTATTAGTTAATATAAAATATGAAAAACAAATTATCCTTATTTCTATCTTGCGCTCACAAATTATGGGAATATCTATTTACAGTTATTAAAGTCTGAAAAAAGCATGTCTGTGATGTTATCGTCACGCGATGATTTGTAGATACTTTATTTTTTACCACGATATTTTCGACGACAATGTTTTAAAACTGCGAAGTTTTTGAACCGCTTTATTTTCGACGACGATGTTTTAGAACTGCGATGTTTTCTCCCACAATGTTTGGTAGCGCGACGTTTTTGCCTTGCGTTGTTTTCTCTGCGACGTTTTCGTCCGCGATGTTTTTGCCGCGTTGTTATCAGCGGACACCCTGGAAACCCCATTCAGAAGAAAATTTAAAATTTCCTTTTTTCTTTTTTTTCGATCATTGCTTCTCATTTTATATAATGGAAACGTAACTATTGACTTTTGCTCAAATTAAACCTCTGGGTGACACAGCTTTCTTGATCTGCTCATGACAATCCATACAGTTAAAAGTACGAGATTCAGACAAGTCCTAGGCGATTCACCATTTGGAATTTTTCTGATATTAGATCAACAGTTTAAATCTAACAAAACGACATATAGAAATTGTAAAATTAAAAATAAGAAGCAATGAAACATTTATAAGCTTAAGGGAACCAAAATTTAACCCCCTCCATAAAAAGGCCATTTACATACTTGCTTAATTAAACATTTCTTTTGTAATTTGTTTAATTTACATCATTATTTGTGCTAATACTTTTTAATTTCCTTTATAGAAAAACACTTATTGTTCATTTACAAAGTTTGAGTCCCATAATTTCTATGACAAGAATTCCCACTAAATTGTTACTCCAAATATTTTACAAAAAAAATACACTCTCAACAAGCTGTCTGTCACTTTCTTCACTATAGTGATATTTCCTGGATTTAGAACAAGACTAGATTTTGTCATCCATTACTTAATTAATGATCAGGGCACTGTCACTGCGATGATAAACTTTCGTTATATCATTTTCATTTAATACTCCTCTACATTTCATTTTTTAAATTCTATTAATTAGAAAAATTTTGCTTGTTATTTGGGATATCTGAACTCCTTCAAATTCATGACTATCAACATAAAGGTTAGCTAATGTCCATTATAGGCAATATATCATGAGATTTGCGACTAAAGACATGTTTTGCTTCTATCGTATGCTAACAAAGTTACACTTGAATTATAGTAGTTATTTATTATTACTTGCACCTATTTACTGCACAAGCTTTAAGGGCTATCCAAGTCCCAAATAAATAAATTCCTAGATATACTTAACGATTATATCCAATGCTGGTGGCAGATATAGATATTTGTGGCCCAGTGCAATCTCTGTGGGTCCGAAATTCTGCTGAAAAAGCATGTTCATAAATTTTGAAAATTTTGCCATCTTTTAATTTTGTTCTTCAGTGCTTCATTACGTTTTAAAAACTTCACCTTCGCTAATTCTGCTTTCCAATGCAGCCGCACTAGCTCTGGTACTGATCGCAGGCTTATCTGAATAACAAATCTGTTATTCTAAATTCATTCAACATTAAATTCCATCTTTTAGCATATGAGTATCATTTACAAAGTCTGTTTCTTTGCATATGGAAAGAAATTTCTGTTAAATTTCTCCTCATCAACATACTTAACACTTCACAGTGGAAACAGATGCAGTCCGTAATAATCGCCAAGCCTAATGACAATATAAAAGGTTACAATGCTTTTTGATAGTCTTAAAAAAAATATTTAAAAAAAAACCTCAGTGGCTCAACGGCCCTAGTGGGCCACGGCCTGCAGTGTCCTTTTCTGCTTTCTTGACCATTGAGTAATAGAGTGCATCAGCATATGCAAGCAAACTTGGTACTAATTTTATTTACCTACTTAAGGGATGAAAGGCTGAGTCAACCTTGCCCAGCCTGGGGATTGTGGTGCAGCTGCGCGACATGATGGCCACTTCACCACCAGGTGAACTTTTTGATATTCAATTACTAATATTTTTTTAAAAAACTGTTTAGACATCATTGCATGAGACATTTCTACAACTGCAATGTGTTGATTGCCATGCCATGATGAAAGCAAAAATAATAAATAATGATTCACTAGGTTGGCATCAGTACTGAAGTGAAATAACAAAACAGAATTCTTCACATGTTTTATTATGGAAAATATCAAATTTGCAAGTGTAAAGCATAAAAAAAAATTCTTGTGGGGGTTGCTGGTGATTCAGAGGTACAGATTTTAGATCATTCCGAATACTGGATTTTGGTCTTCATAGTGTATTTAAACAGCACATATTAGCTAAAATTTGTATGACTACTCACTTTAATCTCAGTTTCCATCTGCTTCCATTCAATAAGATATTTACACCCCAAAGTAAATTATTTTTAATTATAAGCTACTATATACCAAGCAAGAAACTTATGACCAGATAAAGCTGGTCATGCCATTCAGGGGGTTAAATTGATACTGGGATTCAATTTATAATTTCATGTTAAGCAGCAAGTCTATGTTTTGCGCAAAACATCTAATATTTGAAATAGTTACAAAATAATTTGTGCTTTTATTCTGTATAATTACTACAGCCACTAAATATTCATAAGAATTTCAGTTTCATAATGAAAATAATATCTAAAGTTTTCTTTCAAAGTAACTGATATTTAAATATTTCCTTTAGAAAATAAAGAAAGCTGTTACAAAGTGTATTGCTTGAGAAACTGTCAAATGTCTCTTTCACAAACATTAAGCAGAGTTTTTATTAAAAATAGCTTTAATTTATTTCTTCTCAATATGAATTCCAATAAGCATTTAATGTTTTGTCTTGAGAACATATTTGTAACAAAATATTTTAGATGCACATTTTCCATTTTGAATACTGCCTTAACCAATATTCATATATGCAAGTTTCATTTACTGCATATTTGATATCATATTAAAAAGCAATAGCAAACAATAGAACTTTTACGTTTAGATGGTTTATACATAATGGTGTGGTGTATTTAATTATGGCAAAGCACACTAGGGCTATCTGCCTAAGAGGAGGGATGCCTTCGTGGAGGACTTTCTAAGGGAAACTGGCTCGTATACACGTTACACATGGAGAAAACCACGAAAACGCCCATGCAGCCAGCCCGTTCGCGGGATTCGAACCTCGGACCGAACTACCAGTGTTCAGCGACTTTACCGCTCGGCCGCTGGTGGGCTTGGTTTATACATAAACTTTTATGTTTCATATACAAAAATATTAATAAAAAATTACACTTACTTAAGAAGTTTGCTGGGCTTCATGTCCTTGAAAATTGAATCATTATTGTAAGAAGTCAATTTCTCTTTCATCTAGAAACCATTAAAAAAAGGGGGAAGAAAAAAGAAATATTCATATGATTGCATACAAGTGCAAGATTTCTTCTTTATTAAAAGCAAAATAATCATCATCACACAAATCCATGCCTGTCCTACTTTAACATTCTGCAAAAGTATTATGCATTGAACACATTAAAATTATTTTAACAGGATTACTGGAAATGGTATATTAGAAATATCATTTAAAAATAACAGTTTGGTAAAATTACATACACAGAATGCTGTTAACTACGTCATATTAATAATTATTTTTTAAATGGCAGTATGTTAAAATTATGCTAAAGTTATGATTTAAAAACAATTTATTTAAAAAACTGTCTGTTTATAAATGTAATAAAAATTATGTGATTAAAATGGATTAATAACTATACAATAAAAATAAAATCTCTCACCTGATCTAAAACTTCAAAATCCTTTTGAAAAAGAGGAATGCAAACAAACGTTTGACAATTTCCGCCAATTACAAACAGGAACATAGTAACAACCATTAATACAGACGAAATTAAGAAAAAGATGTACACAGCTCTAAAAAATAAAAATAAATTAATCATTATATTATAAAGCGCATTTAAGTAATTTTTTGGAACTATTAGATGACTCAATTTAATAGCATATATCTGACTTAATTAAAAGGGTCAACAAAAGTACAGGCAATTATTCAGTACAGTTAATTATTTATAAATATATCCTTATCTGCAGAAAAAAACCCATTTCTATATATGGCTTTATATGCCCAGTTCAACATCTTGTAACGCTCTCAAAGGGCTAGGAAAAATTGCCTATTCATACTACTGTTCAGATAGAGTTTGCAAAACCTATATAGCCTGTCCACTGGCAAGCCTTTTACACAGATATCTCTTGATTTTAAATGGAATATTGCTAAGCAGCGAATTGTTGTTTATATGAAATTTTCTCAAATACTTACGTTACTTATAAATTCTTATAAAATGAAAGGTTAGAGTTGACTTAAGGGTACACCTTGTATTATCACGAAGTTGTTTCATTGATCGACAAGTTGTTGTTTCATTTATGGCAGCCTGAGTAGTTGAAAGTTATGAAAACCCTATTTATGATGTAATCGGTTACATCATTGCAATAAATTGGTAAGGGCTTGTGTGTGTGTGTGTGTGTTGGTTAGAAAGTATATTGCTTGTTTCATGGTTTAGACGGTAAAATGGCTAAATATGGTAAGATTAATTTGAATTTTTTGTACGATTTGAAAAGAAAGGGGAAAAGAGCATTACTTGACTGATGTGTAAATGAAGGTTTACTTAGTAGCCATTATTAGGTATCCTGTTTCTACGAAGAAAATGCGTATGGTCGAATGTCGTTATGAAGGATATTTTTTATTCTTATTTTGTGAATTTATGTGGTGACGACAGTATACAGATTCTAGTTCAGATAATTTTAGGAATTTTTTTGGATGCTGTTAAGGAATTTTATTTGACTGAAGACATGTGAATTCGTAAATAAGGTAAATGGATATTTCCTTTGTGTAGTGCAAAGATGAATTTTCGTTTTTATGTTTTGTCATTGTTTGATTTAAGACTTTAATTTAAGATTTAGTTTATTGAGATTATATATTTTTTGTTAGTTGCTCCTTTAACGTTTGAAGTGAATATACTAGTTCAATGTGTACATGGACAAACTCAAGGGAGTGCGCAAAGCCTAGTTTGTGAAGTTTTCTAAATTTTTTTAAGTGAAAATAGGTTGATGTCTACATGGATAAAGTCAAGGAAGTGCACAATGCCATTTTTGTGCAATTCTGTGATTTTTTTAACTAAAAATAGGTCGATGTGTATATGGATACCAAGTTTGTGCAATTCTTTGACTTACTATTTCGGCTTTATGTAGCGCCGCTACGCAAACCAAAATACCAAGTCAAAGAATTGCACAAACTTGGTATCTATGTACAGCCAAAAATCGCAAGGGGTACCAGTAAATATATTTTTACCAAATGAAATTAATAAACAAACCAAAATTATAATTTTTCTCAGTTTCAACTAAATAATAATATTAAACCAATTTTTGAAAATGAACACAATATCTGGCTTTTGGTTTGAATAACATGAAAAAAGTAAACTCACAGAATTAAACAAAGTCCTCCACAATTTGAAGAAGTTGACCTTTTCGTCGGATGGCGTTCCTTTTCATAGCCACAACACCCACAAATCAGCCCAAGTGAAAGGAATGCAACAGGCACAAGAAGAATAGCAGCTATGGCAAACATTGCCCACCACCTAAAACATACAAATTATGATTCTATGTAATTTCTTTATTAACACATTCATTTGAAACACAAAAATATGTAAAACGAAATATAAAACATTTATATACAAGCTCTGATGAACTTATAATAATGCACATCAAATTTCATTTAAAACATTTTGGAAGAAGTTGAAAATACAGAATAAAAAATAATTTTGCAAAATTCAACCATTGCCTAGCATAATTTCAACTTAAAATATCATTGACAAAAATCATTGATATATCGACTTAAAATATCTTAAAATCTTAAAATATCATTGACAAGCATTTCAAAAGACAAAAGATACAAATACATGGAATATTTTCAATTAAGAATGAATGATTACAATTATTTAAATTTTATGTGAATAAGCATCTCTTGCATCCATTAATAAAAAAATAAGTGTACTTACCGATATTTTTCATAGCCATCACTTTCCTCAAAAGCCTTTTCAAGTTCCCTTTTGCCTTCATATGCAAGTGATCTCAACTAAAACCCAAACAATCATAAACATTCAGTCTAAGCAATTCATAAACATCAACAAATAAAAATTATAACACTTTGATAACAATAATAATTAAAAAAGAAACCTTTCTAACAGTGCAGATTGTCCTTCAGTACAAATGACAACTTATGCAAGTAAAAAAAATGAACGAAGATTGACAAAAAGAATTTTTAAAAAATGAACAAAGATTGCCGAAAAGAATTGTGTGTCATAACTTCTGCAACATTGTTTTCAAGTAAAACCTACACATTAATTCTATAACCATGAATAGTTGTTTCACTCAGCAACATCATATAATTCTTATGGGACTTAAAGCTGAGAACTCGAAGGCTACTGGGTAGTCAAGATTAATTATTCCATACAACTACCTGATAGTGGCAGACTGAGGAGTACACTATCATAAGATTAGTATGAAGATCATGAAATTATTGTTCTGATGAACACTGCATGAAAGGCACTCAATTCAAGCTATAAAAGGCTACAAATGTTTAGTTTTTGTGGCCTTTGTTTAGCTAAATACATTTAAGGGTAACAAGATGCAGCATTTAAAGACCTGTGCAGAGAGACTATAGTCAGGCCGTAATATGCCACACAAGAATAGTCCTCATAGAATCAGTTTCACAGGACAGATATAATTATTCTATTCTGGAAACACTGCAAGAAGCCACTTAACTCCGTATGACTCTACACAGAAATTGAGACACAGCAAATAGCACATACAGAGACAATCAATAATTATCTAAGGCAATTTCAATAATTATCTTAGGCAGTGGTTCTCAAACTTTTTTTATTGTTAACAACCTGCTATATTTTGTATTGAGTTCCCATTGCTCTCCAGTTTATCATTTGACAAAACTGAAGGCAATTCAGTCTTGCACATACACAATTTATCTTGAGCAATTTTCACAATAAATTGCATAAAACATTTTATGAGTTAAAATATGAGCTTTATAAATGTCTAGCATAAAAAAATCCATAATAATACTCTGATAAACAAAGAGAAATGGTGCACAAAGATAGCCCGACATGGATCATATTTTCGATTGCTTAAACTATCTAAATAAATTTGTTGATACTTAAGAAAGCTTCATGGAACTTATAGAAATGGCCCAAAAAAAAAAAAAAAAGTTCTTCTTTTGACTATTAAGACAAATATGAACGTGACACCTTAACTGATTTTGAACCACCTCTTCTCACCCCAATTTTGTAATTATAATCAGAAAATACCATCCACTTCACGACATTTTGGGGAACTCTGAAATTTCAGGGTCAAACCTGTAATGCTCGGACCCAATCTAGGGCATGCTAGGTCTTCAGCATTAACAAAAGTGTATGACCTTTGTCCATTCAATTTTACTTAAATTCTGCATTACTACAGAGAAATTTAAAATAAATATCCACATGAAGAGAAATCGCACATCTCTAAAAAATGAGCTAGTCAAAGCTAATGCTCTACCCTTATTCATATTATTTAAATTCTTCATTATCAATTACTACTTCAAATGTATGGTCATTCAACATACATTTACATTCAACAGAGATACATAACAAAAATATATTTGAAAAATATTCATAATTAAATGCTCAGTTACTTTGCTGGATATACTACTATCTAAATTCAGATTCCTTAAAACTTGTAAAATTTTATTTCCATGTATTAAATTTCCTGACTCTTAGCTTTCACAAAAACACAGATGAAAGTCAGAGTCATGAACGCAATTCTTTAATTCCAGTATTATTTGGAATTAAAGAATTATTCAAAACAATACAATGGATTTTATTAAAACTTGATACATCTAGAAGCATTTAATTTTCTTTTTTTTTTTTTAATTTTCATTTTGGGAAAGAAAAATTACTTCTGAAAACACAAATCTAATAATAAGCAAGAAGTTACCTCTAAATGATTAGTAGATAGGATTAGCCTCCAACTCCAAAAAATATTAGAAACTGTGCAAGAAATGTGCAGTAAGTTTAATAATGGAGAAAACGTTTTTAATGCATTTAATGCCACTAAACATATTTAACACATTCATGTCAGGGCCAATTTTTATTTTCTTCACCGTGAGATGGCGCTCGAATTTTCGCCGCGTGATTATTACCTGTATACGAGTTGTACGTTTGCTAATAGTTATTAATTATAATTGTTATTAAAAATGATTTTATAATAAATAAACGTTCATTTTTCATTATTTAAATTTTCAGCATCTAATAACACAATCGAATGCGTACCATCGGTGGCAAGCGCCACCCAATAAGACAGACTAGGCCACCAGTGGTACGTGCCGCCCGATGAGACAGACTAGTGTGGGCCACCGGTGGCATGCGCTGGCACGAACGTGTTAAATAATGTAACCAATGTCATGAAATCTCTTTCTGCAGAGTAATCAATTTCACTATTTTATAAATATGCAATGTTTGCAGAGATAAATAATGAAACGACATGATAAATATACATAATTTACACTCAATTAATAATATACCAATATTCCAATAAAAATAAATCTTATACAATAATCAGAAAGCTAATTAAAAAATACAACAAAGCAATCATGCAATATTATTGAGAACTTATTTAAAGTTTAATTTTTATTAAATTATTTTGCTTATATGATGCACCTCCTGATATATGAAAAAAAAGCAATCACTACTCTATCAATCAATTTTTACAGTTGAATGAATAACACAATGAAAATATCATTACCTGGTCAGTATACTGTTTAACTTTATTCTTCACTTTTTTTATGTCTTCATCACGAGGTTCTGCATCCTCAACAAATTCTAAAGAGGGAAATTATTTTATAAACAATGTTAAAATCAAACCGGTACTTCAAACACAAATATACAACCAAAATATATACAGATTTAATTAAAATTTATTTTTTATGATTAACACCAATTAAACTAAAGAACCTACAGAAAAGAATTATACTTTAAAAAACTAAAAATCAAATTTATTCAATAATCACTGAATATTTTTATAATAATGGATGCTTTATCTACAGAGTATTATACACTGAAGTTGCACTGATTTACACTTAATGGGCATCAGCCTTAAACAGCATTTTGAAGGAACTGCAAAAAAAAAATTTTTTTTTAAAATTCTTTTCCTCTATTCTGCATTAAGATTTTGACCGTTATAAAATTTAATTATCACATTATAATAAATTCTGCATTATGCATTTTGTTAACATTTGATATTTCATTTATGATGTAATAAAATCAATTTACACAGGATTGTCATTCCAACTATGATGAGCTCACGAGGAAATAGAATTTTCTCTCAATATAATAGTGTCATAAATTGACAAAAATACATAAACCCCTTAATAATCTATGAAGAGCACATTTATAGTTAAGGAGCATTTCAGTTGTATTTAAATTGCTTAAACATATAAAATAAATTGCACATAAAGATTTCAGAAATAATGGCATTTGGCATTCTTTTGTTCATGGATCAGCATTCAAAATATATATAAGCATGCTTATGATAGCAGTGTTAAACAGTTAACTATACTACTCATTATGATTCATAAAATTTCCAATCCAGATACTTTTTTTTTTTACGCATAGCTGATTTTTTTACAAAGAAACCAAGTTTAAACCAACAAGTTTTACAATGCAAAATCCGCTAAATGATGCAGAATCTGAAACTAATTCTCTTGGCAAAAAGGATTTATCCACAATAGAAAACTTTGTTTAAATATTCACATGATTAAGTTACATTTTAATACTAATATGGCCCTGAAATTGAATGCAGTGAACAATCATGCCAAAAAAGAAGGGGTTGTGAAACCAAGACTGATTTAAATAGAATATAAAATTAATATTTGCTTGTCAAATTAATGTTTTTTTCAAAATGTACAGTTACTTCAAACAGCAAAGCATCTTAAATATTTCATTAGGGTTGCTATTACTATTTCAAGCTATATTTTGTGCAAACATTTATGTTTGGCAATAACTGTTCCCCTTCTAGTAAAAAAGTACACAAAACTCTAATATCAAGAATAGCTTCATATTAAAAAAATAGCTGAATAGATAACACCACTGAACACTGGTCACTCAAAGCAAGCTGCACAGAATTTGTGCAGTTTTCTATACATGTAATATAATATGAATTAAAGTCTTTTAGAAAGTCTTTATTGCACAATTAAAGCAGTTTAACAAACTCTTACATCACAAAAATAGGGGTCTTTAAAAAATCTATAAAACTGTAGAATAATATTAATATAAAAATTTAGTTAATGTTAAAGCATGGGATACCTACATAGTCCAATATTAATGCTACATAAATAAAATTAGAAACTCTAACTATCTTAAGCTTATTTGGAAAAACCACAGCAAAGAAAAATTTTACAAAATGGCATACGTTTCAAACTTTCACTTTCTTCTTCGATCTTATTCTTTAATATTGTGTTGTTTTGTATCTGAAATATAAAAACAAATACTGAATTAAAAAACTGATTAAGTAGTAAAAAAATTGCATGGACGGATACAGTAAAAATATTAATAATTAGGAATACTTTAACAAGTTATTTAATCTCTAACTTTAAAATTAGCTTAATTCAAACTTAAACTGGCATTAATTGTAGATGTACGAAGAATAAAATAATTAAACAAAATGCTTGCTTTTAAAAGTTTTTTCTATTATGCATGTAAATAAATTTCATAACATTATTAAATCCAAAGATAAAAGTATTTTTTCAGACAATTCAGCACATATTTAAACAAAACATTACACTTATTTGCAAACTGTTTACAATAACAGGTTAGAAAGGCTTTTATTTTAAAAACACAAATGAGTTTTATACAACATATTAATTTAGCACTGAAAATACAGTCAAGTGCTAATTCATCAGAGCATATTTATTGGATTCTATCTAAAACAAATTTGTTTACTGTAAATTAATGAAAAAATTATCTTGCAAATTAATGGTGATGTCTGAATAATTTGAAATTTCAAAACGTACTGATATACTATCAGTATAGATATTTGAATGAGTAATAGTCTTCACAATATATTCAGTTGCTTTAATAACAGCTAATATTTCTACTTGGTATATGTTATTTTCATTGTCAAGATTATCCTTCCATTGAAACTTAATTGAATCACTCTTCAGTAAACAAATGAGCATCCCATATTATTATTAATTTCAGAGCAATTGATGTAGACTCTAGGCATTCAATTGCAATATAATAAAATGTTCAGCTTCTTTTTATTATTTTTATTAATGAATAGATTAATATTGTTCATTTAAATATCTATACTGATATGTCAGTACTTTTTGCGAATTCAAATTATTCACAGACATCACCTCTGTTTTATTTTAATTCACTTAAGCTCTGCTTTATTTTACCGAAGTGTCTCTCATTTCAAAAGTTTTGCTGAGAGTTTTCTTAATATTTCTTATAGAAGATTCACTTTACTGGAATTATCAGATTATCTACACAAATCACAATTATGATACATCATCAGTTCCTTTCTGAACATAAGTTCAGTTAATCAACGTTACCTTTTTGAATTAGAGTTTCCACAAAGTTTCATTTAATTTTGGGTTCCACATTTGTTCTGCTTAAGTCAGTAGATTGACTTTTTTCAGTTTGCAAACTTTGCCTTCAGGAGTTACAAAACCTTCTGGATGGAACATGAAAATCTCTGCATCAACTGATTTATTTAAATATGCTGTTTGAATATTTCGCAGCTAAAAGTGATGTGCATATAGAACTGTCCCAAACTACAAGTAGAAAAGTTTTTTTTGTGATCTTTTTTATACTTTTGTGATTGAACAAAATTAAAAATGTATCAATTAGCCAAAAAGAACTCTTAGCTAAGTATGGTATGCAAGAATTTTAGCAGGGACAAAGACAGAAAATGTATGTATCTATTGGGTCTTGAACTTTAACTAATGAATATTTTTTCCTGATTTATTCTCTTTTCAGCTCTGCAAGGGAGAGTGTTGGGAAATTTGCATTCTCCCTTTGCAACTGCACAGTGATGAAGACGTGAAACAATCAATACTATATAATCCTGCAGTAGAAACCAAGAAATGTGTAAAGGCTTGTGTGTTCTCCTAATGTACCTATATTGGGTGCATGTCATCCTGCGTGTATTGATGTGGCCAGTAGTCATGATTCTCTCCAGCATGGCGTGGCAACGCGATGCAAGGAATCCTAACATGGGATATAGAAGTCAAGACTAGATTAGAAACATGTATATAGCAGAGTGTCCCACACAGCATTTTATACGAAGTATTGCATGGAATTGTTGCAGTCATGTGCTATTCACATTATGTTTTTCCTCACATGTCATAAGTTGAGATAACCTGTTCTTCTGTTTCATAATAGCGAGGAAGCACAACGAATTATAATTATTATAATTCAAGGAAATCCCACATTAGAACTTGTCTTTCAGATACATTAAATACACTCCTTTAGACAAAACAGTAAAAAACATGTTCTGCACTGTACAAATACTCTCAGCATCACCATAAACCAAACCACAATCTCAAACTTAAAACTCCCCCAGCATTTACCTAAACCTTCAAAATGCTCATTATTAGCAATATTTAAACAGAAGATAACACTGCTTACAAATATATTTCCACAAAAATTGTTGCCACTCCTATTAAGTTTAGCATTTCTTGTTTGGTATTATTTAATCACTTGCTTTGTAATTTGTTTGATGTATGAATCTAGCAACCCAGTTTTTTTTTTTTTTTTTTTTTTTTTTTTTTTTTTTTTTTTTTTTTTTTTTTTTGAATGCTACGATCCAGAAATTATCCTTCTAAGCTTACCAGCATTTAATTAACATTGCAGAAATACTGAATGTTATTCATCATTAAGATATACCGATTATTTTATTATTATGTTAAACCATACATGTAAATAACCCCATTAATCCCTGTGTTTATAAAGTGAAAAAAAATCAGATATGAAACATAGTTAGAATGATGAGTCAAAACAGAAATATTAATAAGTTATATACACATTAAGCAGACGTTTGGCCAAATTTGAGTAAATAAAGAAACTGATACATACTTGATCAATAACGTTTGTTAGTTCTTCAAAATTTGTTTTCAGAAGCTTTGCAAATTCCCTTTGAACATGAGCCTAAAATATATGCAAATATATTCATTAAATAATGGGGAAAACATTCAACTGCATCTCAAGACTTTGTAATATATAATGGAAACAAATTGTACTAAACACTATATAATGGCACACAGATAAACTGCATACAAAAATATTTTATGTCACATATTTTAATAAAATAAAAGGTACTTACGTATTATCGCAACCAGGTTGGGCGATTTGTAAGTTTGAGTAAAAAAGTATGAATAGAAAGAAAATGTACATTTATTAATTACAGATAATTTTTAATACATTTTTAATGAGCTTGGCACCATATAAATTCGATAAGGTACGAGTCAAGATGATGATGGGCTGTTCCTCTCTGTTTTTTGTTGCGCCATTTGGCTGAGCCCCACATGTGCTCTACATGTTGTATGTGAACGCCCGTGTTGGGATCCACAAAGTTATATTTGTGATTAACAGTTCCATGCAGAAATCCAGCATTTTCGAACTCACTTGTATTGTATCCTTTCCAGCAATCCGAATAAATGATGATTCCTTCCTTGATATTTTCGCAAATTTTTTGCATGAGGGTAACGGCGCTTCTGTTAGGTACAGTAACCAAAAAAGTCTCTTTCTTTTCTCGGCAAATTCCGCCGAAAACCCATTGCTGTGGTAGTACACGCCCAGTGTTATTTTTCTTTTTACAAATAAACTTTCGTCTATTTCCACAATAAGTCCTTTGCCGCCTATTTGCTTTCTTTCTTTTTCATCCATTTCAAGGGCACATATCTCCCGCATGTAATTATTCCAATCTATCTACGAAAAACTGAAAAACTACAATCTACGAAAAACTACGTATAACACGTAGGGTTGCCGTAAGTAGGGTCGCCAAATTTGGCGATTTATGCGAATTTTGGCCTGGTTGCGTTAATACGTAAGTATCAAATAAAATTTTATGCACAAGTCTGAATGCATTTTCAATATAGATTTCAAGAGGTACAGAGTTGACTCTCAAATTATATGTGCATTTGCATTGCACATTTCAATTTTTATATAGACTGTTTTTCAATAAAAATATTAGAAAATATACTGAAGATAAACAGAAATTTTGGGGGGAGGGGTAGATAAACCATATGCTTAAAAATATCAAAAAATTTTAAAAAGCATCTATACCAATTTCTATCATAACTAAAAAAAAAAATTGCTATAAAGAATTGAAATTTGCCAATATATAAACACAAAAACACTTTTACATAGTATTGCCACTTTTGTTGATTTTATATGATGCCATTAGCACAGAGAAAAATACAAAGTTAAATCGTTTATTATAATAAATTTTCAGGCACTTCCTGCTGCTCGTACTCATGATGAACTCATGCAGTTTACCTATTAAAAAAGCTTCAGCAATTCACTAAACCAGTCAACTAAGCACAGATTAAAATGTGATTTCTCTTGGTCGTTTAGTATAATACAGCAAATTTTAAATAGCATAATAAATCCAAAATCTAATTTCTCTAGTTACTATGAAGAAGCATAGAAATATCACAAAGAAAATGTTGAATTGATAGGTAAGCCACAATATGCGACTTTGAAAATGGCTAAACAACAGTGATGTAATGTGAAAATTATAAATGATTAAAATTTTTATATGTTACATGCAATTTGTATCTCTGCATTACCTAACTAAATAAAGAATGATCTAATTTAAACTTCTGCTGGTACGACTGGGTACATCTTTGCCAACTTTCATGTTCAGTGATATTTCATAGATCAGTAAATCATCATGTTTCACTTTTATGTTTAAGGCTTACAATATACATCAACTTTACTATCTGAAATGCATTTTTTAAAGTGGAAATTTTCCCTAATAATAATTTGGTTTTTCTAATGTTTAATTTCGTGTTTTATATCCTCAACTAACCAAAATTTTCACATAAAATCAGAATTTGGCACTTCCCAAGCATTTTGGATAGTCAAGCTTGTACTGTACATTTAATTTTGCACAGCTATGCCTTTTCAATGTCACTATTATTTTAGACTGTATTTCATGCCAAAATTTTGCATGGATAGATCTGTTGCCCTGTTAATCAGAAAGCATCTTTAGTAGCTAAGCTTTTTGCTAAGCAATAATTATATGTAAATTTCCAATTGTATGATATGCTGGCATCTTTAATCCCCACATAATTCAAAGTTCAATTATGCATATAATATAAAAATTAAATAATTTATGTGAAAGAAAACACTTACATAAGCCTCATCAACATTTATTTTTTCTAATGGTAACTGCTTTAAATCTAAATTGCATATCTTCTTTTGTGAATTTGTGCAGTTATGCAAACTTTCTGTTTGTTCTCTAATGCTTGCAATCCTGGATTTTAAATTTTTGACTGCTTTTGACAAAGAGGATGCATTAGCTATAGCTGTATGTTGATCTTCAACTGACATTGCCCCTGAAATAAAAATATATCAATACATTCAGAGAAGTTAGGAAACAAAGAAATTTATACAAGTTTAATTTGCAACTAATACATCATATAGGACAAATTGAAATATGTAATCAAAGTACCTGGGCACCTCAAAATGTTGATTCTTCAACAAATATGGTAATACGGCATGGATTGTAATGATAGCTGTCTCTCTCAGGAATACTAGTTACTAATTTTTGGAACACTACATTTTCTCAACACACATTTTCACATTTCTCATCACACATTTTCTCAAATCATGGAATTAAACAAGAAATGACCACCCTCATTTCTTTTTACACCTTATTTTTGCTTACATTTTATTACAGCAACTGCCAAAAACCCAGGTTCGCAAAAATGACATTGAAAACCGAATTAAAATTTGCTGAGCTGAGGAGATACTAATCTTCTATTGAAACCTCAAATTATGTCAATTCTGTGCTGCCAAATTTTGCTTCAAACTGCTGTTGCAAGATAACTCAATAAGATTTTCTTCCACAGAAGTAAATTCTAATGGAGCACTAATGCTAAATGGATCTTGAATCCATGCAAACCTATAAAACCAGATAATTAGCTGTGCCCCTCAAACATTAAATCTTGAGAAAGAACAAGAATCAGTTAAAAATTATTCGTCAAAAATTGCTACGATATTTAAAAAAAAAAAAAAAAAAAAACCTTTGCCTACATCTTCATTCCATTTTCTTCTCCATACTTTAATTTTTTTCCTATAAAAGCTATTTTTTCCATCAACTCCCCCCCCTGCAGAGAGAGATTAAGGGAATTCAGCTTTTCAAAAATATCACATAAATATGCAAGTTTCATATCTTCATCTTTGCATCCTTTTTGTCTAAAGACAATAAAAATTCAAACTGAAAGAAAATGGTGGATTTTCAACTCTGAAGGAAAAAACAACCTGTGAAAGTCAGTACATGTAAACTTGAACCAAATAACATGAGGTAAATTTAGCAACAATGTGAAGAAAGGTTCAAGGTTTCTTTTTATGGAACGAGTCGTGAAAAGCAGTGAAAATGTCATTCTAGCTTTGTTAGATTATCGGGAGGTATATCACGATTAAATAGCATGATCGAGAAGGAGCAGCATTGATGGCTTGCATTCACAAGAATATTCTGTGCTGACGACTTTAGATTTATACAGGGTCAAGTGAAAACAAACCACACAAAAAACTTTAAATATTTTTAGCTTCTTGCTTTGTTTTTGGTTTAGTTATGTGAAATAGCTTGTTCAATTAATTACGAAGTTTCTACAATATTTCACACCACCTGTAAAGAGGCTGCTGCTCCACAGGATGCTGTGGGAACAAATGAATTAAACCATTAATAATTCTTAATATTGTCAAGTTCTGTAAATGACCTTTCTTATGGAAACTGTCTCATATTCATATTACACATGCAAAAAAATCATGAAAACCAATCACGCAGCAAGCCTGTTTGCCTAGGATTGAATAAGGGCTAAACTCCCAGTATTCAGCAGTCTAATCGCTTGACCACTAGCGAGGCATAAATGACTGGATAACTGTAATGCAAATGCTTTACATATAATTTTTTTTAATAATTGATTTTAAAAAAGCAGCTATAGTGATCTTTTTATACAGGAGTGAGATGCCTTCACGAAAGACTTTTTAAAAGTCAGTACTTAATCTTTGAAAAACCACATGCAATCAACCCATTTTGTTGCTGGGAAAAGAATTCAAGGCAAATTAACAGTCCAGGAATTTGGCCATTTGACCATATATTAAAAACCAATACATTCCCCAGTACAAAAAAACGAAGTCTTCTAGGTAAACATTTCTTTAAATGTAATATATAATGATCCCATATATTTAAGTATATGTAAAATTTGATAACTTACATTTGACAATATTTTTTATTTCTTCCAATTTTTCATGATCAATTGAGCTAGATATATTTTCATGTACAAGCTCCACAAAAGTACTTTTGAATGCTGCAACAAAAAATATATATAAATATATATATATATATACTTTATAATTATAAAAATTTAAAAAGAATAAAAATCTTCTAGAATTTGATTTTATTTTCAGTTAAAAAGTAAAAAAAATCATGAAAATTATAATAATTAAATAAAATGCATGTGAACCAGCTGTTCAGCAAAAATAAAGATCTATTTAGATATATGTTACAAACTTAATAATGAACTATCATACATAATTCTGAGTTCCAAAGGTTGGTTCCGTTGCTGGGTTAAAAATACATTGTGATGTTTAGTTTTCAGAAAATTCCATAGCTACATATGCTAATATTTAATTTTAATGTACCAAAGAAAAAAGTATTGAGGAATATTTTTGTCATCACAGGCATAATGATTTGGTGCTCTTCCATTAAAGTCATACCATGCATTTTTGTGCCATGGTGCACTCTGGCTTGTATCTTTTCCCGCACATTTATCTCCATGCTAGCTGAAACAGAACAGATGGAATCAGTAACAAAGACTCGTTCTCTAATGTCGTGACAAAACCTTCCAAAAACCCAATGTGGCGGAAAAAGATAGTATACATTATTTTTTTCTTTTATTTCATGAATAAGATTTTCATCAGTTTTCCCAGTTTTATAGCAATGAAAAATTTTAACATTAGGACAAGATAACAAAGATTTCGAACACACTTCTCTCATGGCATTAATACAAGGTATGGCTATTAATTTCCAGGACTGACGTAACTGTAGGAGAATGAAAAGTCGGAAGATGGCGCTAATGATTGCATATTGAAGAGCGTTTTCTTGCGCATGTGCAGTGCAATCAGCACTATTCTGCAGCAAGTGGTTCTCGTGGAAAGGTACATTAAAACATAGCTCTTAAATTCCTAGTGTCGAAGTGGAAATGGAGCAAAGAATTAACATTAAATTTTGCTTCAAATTGGGCAAGACAGCTGCGGAAACCTATGAAATGTTAAAACAAGTTTATGGTGAGGAAGCATTATTACGCTGAAGAACTTTTGAATGGTTTAAACACTTTTGGGATGGGCGCGAAAGCGTCGAAGATGATCCACACACAGGTCAGCCGCAGTTCATACGCACGCCGGAAGCAACTGAAAAAGTTCGCGATATGGTGAAATGACTATTCGAGTACTCGCCAATGAATTGAACATGGAAAAAGAGATGGTTCGGCGAATTTTGACGCAAGACCTAGGCAAACGCAAGATTTGTTCCAGACTCGTTCCTCACCATTTAAGGGACGAACAAAAGCAATTGAGACTAGACGCATGTGGCAAACTTATTGACAACGCTGATGCTGACCCTGCATTCCTTGATAGGATAGTCACGAAGACGAGTCTTGGTGTTATCAATATGACGCTGAAACCAAGCGCCAAAGCCGAAAGGTGGTTTCCAAGTTCAACAACGCAGAAAAAATTTCGATTTGAAAAGTCCAAAATCAAGGTCATGTTAATCGCTTTTTTCGATTGCGATGGACTCAACATGAATTTCTTCCTCCTAACATGACTATCAATGGACAGTTCTACACAGAAGTTCTTGACCGACTTCGAAAACGAATTCGTAGAGTGAGGCCTCATTTTCAACAAAATGGGAGATGGCTGCTGCTACATGACAATGCCTGCCCACACATTGTGTTGCCTGTGAGGCGATTTTTAGCCCAGCTTGGTGTCGTTGAAATGCAGAATCCACCATACTCTCCAGACCTAGCACCCGCAGACTTTTTCCTGTTTCCTAAGCTGAAAAATTTGCTGAAGGGAACAAGATTTCAGGACGTTGAAGCCATCAAGAAAACTGTAATGTCACTATTAAAGAGCATTCCAAAAGAGGACTTTAAAACTTCTTTCCGAAATTTGTACAGCTGAGTAAATGAATCATCAGTAAACGAATCCTGCAGTAGCAACAAACAGAGTACGCAGATCATGTTTGTATCTTCCCATCATGATTGAAGGCCACACAAATATTTGGACACTTTGCATCACACATTAATTTCATGCTGCAATTATCTGAAATAGGATTTTTCTTTGTAAAGAATATCCCTTTCTTGAACTTGTTCATCTCTTGGCAAATTTTAAGCCATGAAAGGCACCGCAGTAAAGAGGGAAAAAAGTTGAAAATATGGCCATACAGACAGTTATTGGCAATAACTGGTGCTGACAAAATACACAAAAACGTGCCAAGTTGTGCGTCTTTAAATATAAGAGTACAAATAATTTTTAGTACTTACAAAAATTTCAATGCACATTTCTAACCAATTTCAATATAAATACCAATTATTCAACAGCTGATAAATTTTACGAATCTTGAGAATGGCACAATTAAGGTTCATAATAAATCTCCCATTTTAAGTGATACCATTTTCAATTCATATGGATAACTTTTATTTATTTCCATATGTGCAATAAAGTTCATGATTTAAAATAATTTATGGCCAGTTTCAATAATTTGAAATATTACTCTAACTAAATAGCACAGTAATAAAATAGTTACATGTCATAATATCTTTCTAAACTTACAATATCTAGTACGCTTAATAAAGTGTCTGATTCTTCACATCAAAGTTTAACAGAAAATACATTACAACAATCAAAAAATAAATAAAATACATGAACCATGCACGTAAGAAGTTAACCAATAATATGTAACTAAATAACAGATCAAGCTAAATTTAATGTACATGCTCATACTAAATTAAAACAACAGAAAAGCACAATAATTTTTAATATTGGTCATTTTAACAGATACAAGTCAAAGTTAACCTACTATCAAAATTCTGTATAGGACTCTTATTGGATTTTTCAAATGCTTGGTCAATATCCTAGAAGGGCGAAAAAAGTTAGTGTTAGAAACTGTTTAAGGAAATCAAATTACAAAATACTTCATGTTCAAATGGATAAACTTTAACAGCTGATATTTCATTTAAAGTCAAATTAAATTGATGCATGAAACATTCACTTTACTGTTATCAATCAATCTATTATGATACAGTGACTTCCTGAATCACTGGAGTAATACTAGGATTAATCCAAGGGCAATTAAAAAATACATGAAAGAGGATAGCACCCATAGTAAAATTTTAGGAAATTATTATTAACTATTTAGCTACATTAACAAGCAGAATCAGAAGAATGAATTCATTTGGTTAGGCAAATTAAATCAGTATTCAAAACAAAAAAATACATATCAAATCAAAATAAGCAATACTTCAATTACATTACCTCTACATTTCAACGAAGATTCGATGTAAAACAGATTAATGGCTGTACACTTGATTTGGCACTATATTTCAACAATTTACTTTTAACAGGTGATTTAATAACTTATGTGTTCTGGATTACATGCAACTAAATTACACACTGATATTAATAAAAACTCCCAAATACAGTTGTTAAATGCCTTTAATCCACATACCCCAGACCCAAAGGTTGTGCATTAGTGAATTCCGTAGATTATAAGTTAAGACTATTTTGTTAATTGTTTCCCGTCCTAATTTTTACATTACATGCAGATTATTTGCACATAAACAAGTAACCTTCTCAGCATTATGGATGTAAAATTCTGTATAGAATGGTTGCTTTCTTAGTCATTACACATGAAACTTTATGCCAGCTTTTAATGTATCTGATTTTAGGTTGGATATACATTTGGAAAAAATCTGATGTGTGCACCACGAGTTCCTTGTACGGAATATTAAATTATATGCATTTTTTCTTTTATTTCATTTATTGGATTGAATTAAATCTACTTTGTCGATAGTGCATAAACCATAATAGAATAAACACACTATTAAAATTCACTATACAGTGCAAAGTCCGTAATCCGGACGTCCTCCATTATCCGGAATGATCTATAATCTGGACCTCAAAGCCACAAACTTATGCATGCGCATTTGATGTGCACGTCCGCTACGCATGCGCGTAAAGCCAGTAAAGCGTCTATACATGCGCGCTTCCGATAGTGAAGAAATTCTCGACAGAGCAATTACAGGATTTGAACAGTGGAACTTTGTAACTGAACAAGAAATTATGTCTGTTTATAAAAGAGAGAATTAAAGAGAAAGTATTAGCACAAAAAACGAAGCAACTTAAACAACTTACATTAAAAGAAATGTTTAATAAAGTAAACAAATAAATATGAAGTTTTTTTTTTTTTTGTAAATTTTGATTCCCTTCAGATCATAATTCCTCTTTATTTCATAAATTACGGTTTAATATTTTTAATTGTATAATTTCTGCATGCCATCTTACCAGATTTAAATTGATGATCTATAATCCAGAAAAGACCTGATCTGGAATCGGCGAAGTCCCGACGAGTCCGGATTACGGACTTTGTACTGTATTTGTTTACCATAGGGACACTCTGGCCCTAGGTTCACTTAACATCATTACATTTCATTCATTTTTTTAACTCAGAATGCACAAAATTTATATCACTTTAAGAATTATCTAATCATTGCCACATACTAATAATAATTCAAATACCATAATATATCTAAAATGATGTATAAAAGAAATTAAGCAAAGAACAACAAAACAAAACAAAAACAAAAAAAGAAAGAAATTTTTCACAAACAATTCAGTATTTCTCATTCAATTAATTCAGTTCTCACTTCCCGACAAGGCAATATAGTCAAAATTCGTTAATCCGGACTCGTCGGGACTTCGGCGATTCCAGATAATCGATGTTTCCGGATTATAAATCATCAGTTTCAATCTGGTAAGATGGCATGCAGAAATTATAAAATTAAAAATATGAAACCGTAATTTATGAAATAAAGAAGAATTATGATCTAAAGGGTATCAAAATTTACAAAAAAAAAAAAAGCTTAATATTTATTTGTTTACTTTATTAAACATTTCTTTCAACGTAAGTTGTTTAAGTTGCTTCGTTTTATGTGATACTTTCTCTTTAATTCTATAAACAGACATAATTTCTTGTTCAGTTACAAACTTCTGCTGTTCAAGTCCTATAATTGCTTTGTCGAGAATACCAACTAATTTGTCAATCGAAATTTTTTCGTTTTCAATAACCTCTGTGTCACTTTCTTCACTATTGGAAGCAAATTATAATGACGAGGAATTTGATTTAAATCATATCAAAGACGGAGTACATTGAGATGAAATACTACATTTAGTAAGGAATTATAAGCCAAATAAAAAAAAAATCTGCCCTGAAGATAAGGATAGTTATGACAGATCAACTTCCAATTCATTGCGCTCATATACTTATAATACTTTTGGTGCAGCCGACTGCAACCAAAATACGAGGTGCACATCTACATGTTATAGAAGTCCTATACAAAAAATTTCAACGTTCAGAGGCTACTCGTTTTTGAGTTATGGAAATACGTACGTACGTGCGCACAGACGCCACAAAAAATTCTCTTTTAAATTAGTTTTAATATTTTTTTGGAGAGAAAAGAGTTTTTAATTCTGTCCTTACGCACAGATGTCATGCAAAAACATCATTAAATTACATTTGATAGTGGTGAAAATGGATATTTGCGTTGAAATATGCTGCCTGAAACTTTTCACGATTACAATACCTCCTTTTTACTTCGTACAAGGAAGTAAAAAAGGGGGATCAAGGTAAAGTCGTATCTTGATTATAATCAAGAAAATACCATTTATTCATTACATTCTGAGGCACTTGAACCATTTCAGTACCAAGGAGCAATTTTGCGCTTCTTCTATGTCGCACAAAAAGTGCCAGCGCTCTAGGCTGCGAAGCCGATAACCACAACATGCTCGGGGTTATGCTCAGAAAGATTTCAGAACAACACTGAATTGAATTGCAACTTAACCGTATAAGAGCAGGAAACAGCACAATAGCACTCTTTGGCATTTTTAATTGCAGAATAAGACGAGCGAAAAACTGCTCCACTGCACTTTTGGACGAAAAACAGCAAAGACATGCGACACACAAACAGTTAAAATTTCAGGGCTAAACCCACAATGGTCTGATGGTTAAAAAACTTATATATTAAGAATTCTTTAATGTGAAACCATTATATTTTTAATATAATTATACACATACATAAACGTTATGAATTAAATGCTTACTTTTATATTTTTAGGACATTATTTCTATTGTTGCTTGTTTCATTGCTCTGTTGTAGGAGGTTTCTCTTTCATTATTTTTTCCTGAAGTTTTACATATTGTCATTATTTTCTGATGTGTTATAAAATTCTGTTTTTCTGAAAAGCACTGTTGACCTAATGCTAAATCCTCAATTAAAGTAATTTTTGCTTCTTAATTATCAGACTGAGTATTTGAATTTTCATCTAATGGGTTTCAGACATGTAAAATAATTTCATCATTAATTGCAATGTAATACGAGCTTCATTTTTAAAAATCATTCAGTCTCAACTTATTTCTTCTCTTAAAAGTTCAAGCAAATCTTAAATACCCTTTTTTGTAAATAAAAGCAATTCTGTTGCTTTTATTTTTGTGGGAGATAACTTAAAACCTAAAAAGTCACCTTCATAAAGAGTGTCATCAGCTAGCCAGTGGTTGTTTATAAGCCATTTTTTTCCTCAAAAAACTCATGAATAAAATCTTTTAATAAGCAAAAAAAAAAAAAAAAAAAAGCATGTATTCACATTCTTAGAAAAAACAATTCAAACTGCACACACATTTTATTTTGGCTTGCATTTGGAATACAAGCCCCCTTCCCTCCTTTTTTGTTTCTGATTCTCTTGATTCTCCCAAAAATCTCAATGATGATACGATTATTTAATTTTGAATATGATTTAGGGTGTGACTAATTGTTCAAAGATGCACTTTCCAGTAGTAATTCTTCACATGATGTTAATGAAGATCTCATATCTGATGCTGGACTTTGGTATTAACTACATTCTCAAGATTGTTTTACCAATTCCAGCATCATAGCAGTTCAGGAATGACAATGTCTGTTTTGGAAAAGTACTGAGAGTACAGTAGAGTTCTGAGTAGCAAAGTACTGAGTAAAGTATATTGCCAAGACTGTGACATAGCATTATGTGTAACTCCTTGCTTTAAAATTTAAAATTTATCGCATGCAAACCAAATTTGAAATTTTTATTATAATAAATACAATGTCTAATATATATTTTGCATAAACATATAATATTTGTGTAATAACACATTTTTAACAAATAAATAAAATATTAATTAAATGTGATATGAAATAGTGTAAAATCATATGGTAACAGGAAGATGTTATTAAATAAAAAAGAAATAAGCTGATTAAAAATTCTCAGATCACAGCAAAAATATTTCTCCTGTAAGGTAAGTTTGCATTAGATAAGTTGTCTTGTGTTAGAACTGTCTCACTTTGTATGTACAGTAGGCACTGCTTAATGTGAATAGTTTTACTCACAGCTATTTTGACATTAACTAAATGATAACATTAGGCAATAAGATAACATATCCTTCAAAATAGCAATAGATTTTAACTAATTTGATATGAATATAACTAGAAATATAAGTATTTTCACAGCATTTTAATTAGGAAAATACAAAAGTTTGTTTATGTACACAATGTCTTTAATGCAAAAGTTCATTTGTGAAAGGTTCATAATGTCTCTGGAAAATGACACTCTACCCTTAACATGGAGAGAGCATCTTCGTTCATTGAGAGAACATGCCAATGTAAAATTTTAAATTAGGCAAAAAAAAAGTTTGGCATAGACAATTTTAGGAAATTCTACCTGGCAGTAGCACAGAAAAAAGAATTCTGCCATATTTTTTTTTGCTCCTGAAAAAAAAAAAAAAAAAAAAAAAAAAAAAAAAAAAGACCTGTGTCTGACCACCCTCATAATCGATAATTATTCAAATGGTTGTGATATCTAATCTAATAATTTAATGGTATCTAATTTCAAATGGTTGACTAAAATCGAAACCAAGCTGCCGGGCTACCTGATCCCTTGGTGACATTACTCTGCCATTTGGCAATTTTTGTAATCTATTTTGACATTATTTGGTGATTCTGATCATTTTAAAAAATTTATTTCATATATCAGATAATATTAACCAAATGGTTGATAACAATAAATGATCCAATTTCTACATTTTCATATACAAATGGACATGACTTTCGCAATTTGATAACAATATCTGAATGATAACATCAACTACGATCACAGTAAGCACTGTCTACTGTACATTATGTTTCAAAATTTAATAATAATAATCTGAATCCTTTTGACTCCCAAAAACTTCAGATAACGGATGCTCCTCCCATAACAATATTTTTTCATGACCATGTTCAATCATAATCTAAATTCCATACTTACACTATCAGTATCATTGGCAAATTTTATTAAAATGTTGAAAACTTCAGTAGCATTTCCCTTCACGGCTGGAGATGACTGTTGCATATGTTCATTTATAATACACATACAGGTGATAGGAACACTACAGAAGACAAAGAAAATATGCAACATGTTAGAGTGAGGAAATACTAAATAAAAATATTAGTAATCAAATTTTTTTTATGATTTTCCACCTACAAATATACATAATTAACTCACTAACATTAAAAAATTAAGATAAAATCTTAGCTTAATTTTTATCTATTAAAGAGCATTCTGAATTCCTAATATTCAAAGAATCAAAACAATAGAGCCTGTTCAACCAATTAACATTTTTATAACAACACTGCACCTTTACATGAATTATAATTACTGCTTTAGGAAACTCATAAAAATTTTCACAGTTTCAGAAGATTTGGACTTTAGAATCATACAGTTATTAAAGGAATTTTGTAAAGATGTGAATGCAGTTCAATAATTGTATTATTTGCATAATGATTGCAAGCCTGATATTCAGTTTTAGAGTATAAATTATTTTGAAAGATATTTACATGTAATTTATAAATTATTATAATAATAATCTATCTTGTTTTTATTATATGTAACAATGTTTAGCAGGTTTTTAACATTTCCCTTGCATTTAATGAGAACATGTCGCTAATTTATATCAAAGCACAAAACCGTAAAGCCGTATATTTAAACCTTCACCCCCTTACTGGTCAGATACTTGGTTCTCAAGCATTTATCTAAACCAAGGATTTCCAACCTTTCTTTTGCATCAATCTCTTTTAAAGGAATGGTTTCTTCATCAACCCCCCTCCCTTACAGTTTTCTGAATATACAGTATACAAAACTCACAATATAAATACTGGCATACAGGGTGATTCAAGACTAGAGAAGGAAATTTCTAGGAGGGGTAAGGCTACATTTAGACGAGTCTGAATCCCATAGCAATGCAGGGTTGGAAATGCAATCCTAACAAGATAGGGAGGATGTTAGAGGCTGTTACAGGAAAATTGTCAAGAACCAGCTGCAAAGATATTAGGATGGAAAATATTAATACACTCTGAATGCAAATTGACATTTAAAGACTAAGTTTAAAATAAATCATGACTTGACTTTACCAATAATGAAGTTGCCCAAAGTTCCGCAATGTGGGTACCACATAGAAGCTCAAGACGTTTTGAAATACGCTGGGCAACCATTAGATATTTGCAGTAGCCACGAAGATGTGTCATTTCAAGATGTATGAGATTTCATGCCTTACATTATGCTACAAAATATCAGGAACCTTCATATTGGGAACCAAATCTTCAAATATTGGGAACCTTTATCAAAGTCAGGTCTTATTTTTATGGTCTCTATATGCCAGTTTGCAATCATATTGAAGTCCAACAATTCTCCCCCCTACTTCCTCCGATCAGCTGTAGAATAAATAAAGATGCAGGAATAACAAATCAATAATGGGTGGAAAAACTATTTAACAATAATTTATAATATGTATACAGTTTCGCAAGTGCATGAGGTTCCAACCATTCACAGTTACAGAGTCTTAGCAATGGCAATGTATGGATTGTTGAACACTTTCAAAAATACCAGGCATGTCACATATGTTTGCAGGTTCCATGGAGATTCTTGTGAAAAGGTTGGTATTACAGTCATTGGGCATCTCATAGACCATAGCTTTCAAGGCCCCCCACTGCTGCTCAAACATATTGTTCAAGTAACATTGCATGGCTCGGGTAAAATGAGCTGCAGCCCCATCATGCTGGTACCACAACCACAGCAAATACAAGTAGGAAGACTATGCAGACCATCCAATAGGTCCAAAAGGTCTTTGACCATCCAATAGGTCCAAAAGGTCTTTGACCATCCAATAGGTCCAAAGATATTAGTTAATTAAGTAATTGCCAATAATACCCACCCATACACTGGCGTAAAACCGTCGTTAAACAGCATGTGGGTTGCTGTGGCTCCCCATATGAACATTGTGTTGTTTGAATATCCCTTCAATGGAGAAAATGGCTTCATCCATGAAAAGAATACACGATAGAAATGCTGGGTTATGGTTTTATTTGTCCACGTATCGGTGCACTAATTCCATGTGCTAATGATAATCCTGAGGCTGCAATGACTGGATGTGTTGCAAATGATGTGGATGTAAGCACTCCTTGTACAATGTACGCTATACACTGGATTCAGATACTGCAATATCAGAATCAATGGTTCATGTGCTTGTAACCGGAGTTTCTTCTACCCTACACACCATCTTATCATCGAAGGCAGGTGTACTTATTATGCATGGCCGCCCTGCATCACACTTGCTCCTGCAGAATGTTCCATATTCACACAGGTTACAGTGCAGATTTACAAACATTTGGAAATTATGTGCACACCTGTTCAAGTATTGTTCAACATACAACGGTGCTGCAGCCCTTCCATTGCACCATACACAATGTGCATGTTCCCATTTCCAAGTTCATGAATTATTACATGTTCTCTGTATGCAAATGGAATTTGAAATGACCAATGCTTGCTGTATGTCCGCTAATGTCCAGTGAAACTGTAGATGGCAAGATTAGGGATATGGCCAGAAAACTTCAGGCAACTTCATTATCGAAAAGGTCATGACTTATTTTACGCTTATGGTCTTTAAATGTCAGTTTGCAATATTCCGGCTACTGATCCCTTGATCATCACCAACACTCTTTAAAAATTCATTGATCTCCAAGGCCCCCTTCTCATTATCAGCCTCTTTTGGAAATCCCTTATCTAAACCCATTGCTTATTTAGCAGTCTCAGCAACAAAAGCAGTAACTGGGATAATCACAGAAGGCTAGCCTTCCACGGGAGGTGAACCCATGCCTATAACCCTAACAATCACTTAGCTAGCCATTACACTATCCATGACAGCATTCAACTTTCATAATAATTGCCTAATGATTCATGTAGAAATGAAATTGAAATGAATTTTTACATGAACTGGGATGAAAAATATAATTCAAGAAAAGACTTTTCTTTCTCCCAAATTTTTTTGAACAAATGGCTAGCCTTTTAAACTAAAATACGAAATGTGCTGAACAGAATTTGAACAATCTATCCAAAGTATTATAGTACATCAATGTTATGGGTCACAAACAGAGGTATGCAACTATCATTATATTAAAATCTGATTCACTTATATTCAACTATATACAGATTCTTGCATCCAAGACACTGGATGTAGTTAAATATGCAGAACAAGTCCCAATTTATTAATAACTACTAAAAGCACTTAAAACAGTTCAATATTACATATAAGTAATTTGGTCAGTTTATCAACTCAAGAAAGAAATTCATGTGCAATAGCTTTTATAACAAATTCTCAAGTTCAAATATTATGATCCACAGGTCCATCATATTGACTTTTTTTTTTTTTTTTTTAATGTAAAAGAATGAAGGTTTTGCATTCAAATTCAAAATTTCGCCATAGCAAATGCAATTTCCTGTAATAAAGTGATAATGGCCTTTCCTGTAATAAAATAAAAAGGACTTACACAAGAAAAGCAATCATTAATATTAAACAAAATTTGTGCATGGTCCTCCAACAATTATCACTTCGTCTTTGTCTTTGGCTATTTTTAGCACCACAACGCCCGCAAAGCCTGCAGAAACTGAAGAACACTCCAGTAATGAGCATAACACAGATATAAATGATACCAATAACTATCATAGTCAGGAATGCATAGTTCATTTTGGCTATCTGAAAAGGAAAGAAAAATCGTTTTAATTTTCATTCTAAAATGATATACCAATATTCAGAAGTTTCATTTAAAAAATACTGAAACACAAAATATTACAAAAACAAATTAATAATTTAAAACATTTGAAAAATTCATCAAGTTATTTAAACAATCCAACTACATGGTGGGAATCAAAATTTAAAAAAAAAAAAAAAAAAATGAATATTTAACTTTTTGCTTTTTTGATACTTTTTTTTCAATTTAAATTATTTAAGTTGCTTAGCTTACATGTGCTAATACTTAATTAATTTACTGATTTAGTTTACTGCGTTAATACTCTAATTCTATAGATAGATTGAGATAATTTCTTGTTCAGTTACAAAGTCCCTAACAGCCATGGCGTTAGGGCTGTTGTTCAAGTCCTATAAAGCCATGGTGAGAATTCCCATTAAATTGCCAATCAAAATTTATTCATTTTTAACAACCTTTCTTTCACTTTCTTCACTAGTGGTAGAGATATTTTCTGGATTTAGAACTATAGCACTGATTTTGCCATCCATTATTTGTTTGATGGAGGCATTGTCACAGCAATGAAAAACTTCCATTACATCATCATCATCCATTACCACCACTCCTCCATATTTTTTCACAAATTCCATTAACTGGAAAATTTTTCCCTTTGTTCGCAAAATCCAAAAACATGCAGATTCATGGCTATCATCATAAAGCTTAGCTAGTACCTGCTGTATACTATTAGCGATGTATCATGAGATTGGTGACTAGAGACATATTGTTCACTAAATTTTCTCTTGCTTCTATTGCACACTGAGAAAGTTATCCCAGTATTACATTAGTTATTTATTATACTTGCGTCTATTTCCCGCATATGCTTGAAGCTTATTTGAGTCCCTAATAAATTAATTCTCATATATACTTAAGGCTTATTTGAACAAGAAATCAATTATTATTATTTCAAAAGCACAAAAGGTAAACCTTTGGTCCAAGAATATAATTTACAATTTTTTTTTTTTTTTTTTTTTTTTTTTTTTTGAAAGAAATTTGTGAAATTTCTCCTTATCAACACACTCAACATTTCATAAAAAGTTACCATGCTCTTCAGTATTTAATTATTAATATCAAAAAAAGAATTGTTCACAGATTGCTGCACGAGTCAATTCACAGGCTGGCATGTGTTGATGGATGCTGGGATGAAAGCAACAAATAATAAATAATGGTTACCTAGGTTGGTGTCAGTGATATAAATTATTCAGTAGGCATAAAATTAAGGGCCTTTACATGCAGCATGTTTAGTTTTAGGGTATATGCCAAACAAAAAGGTGGCTACAGAGTTAAAATATTGATCATACGGGTTTGTGCTAATAAATGACTATTTTTTCAATAAGGAGGTGTTTTACTTAGTGCCTAAAAATTAGGATTCTTCACATATTTTATCATGGAGGCGGGATTTTAGATCATTCCTGATATTTGATGTTCAGATTTTGAACTTTGTACTGTATAGCATTACCTGACACAACATAAAAAAGAAGGTACTACCTTAAAATACAAAGGAAGGGAAAAAAAAAAAAAAAAAGACTATATTCCCAAAATGGTGAGGTAATTAATTAACAGAGAACATGCACTAAATTTTGTTTTTGTGGTGGAATTTCATTGACAAAAATTCTTGAAATGTTGTAGAAAGTGCATTATAACATTACTTTAACCAAACATGTTTAAGGATGGTAGAACATATGCCAAAGAATAACCACACGCTAACGGATCATCCATCTCACCCAATGAACAACATGTTGAACAAGTTCAGAGGTTTGGTTACTTGCATTATGACCTTTGTTTAATAATCAGGCATACAAACTGCTATGTTATTTAGATACTGTCAAGCAGTTCTGAAAGATCATTTCAGGAGGTTCTTTTCAAAGTGAGTTCTTAAACTGCAGTAATGAAACATGGATCTCTATTACAAAACAGCTCAATAATCAAGTGAATAACAAAATATACAGTAAGATGTAAAGGCCTTGTAAAAATCAGCTGAAAATCAAGGTAATATTCACAATTTTCTTTGACTGTCATGGTGGCATGCACCACAAATTTCTACCAATTCACCAAGTGCCAATAACGAATATGATTTGAGTACTTTGTGATATTTGCATGAAGCAATTCATAGAATGATGTGAGATGACTCATGGATTGTGCACTTTAATACTGCACCTTGCTTACATGTTTGTAGTTTATGAATTTTGTGCCAAAAACTCAACAAATACAGCTCCAAAGTAACGAAAAAGCATTACTACATTCACTTGCTATGGCACTGTATTTATTATTATTTTTTTTTTTTTTTATTTCTGTCATTAAAACTGTTACTTCATGGTCACATGACTGAAGTATTGTTATGAGTGTATTGACAGAATTAAAAAAAAAAAAAATATTACTATGTGCCCTGAAAAGGTTCCATAAAAGAAATGCTTTTAGGATTGGAAAAAAATGCTGGCAAAAGTGCACTTCAATTGGAGAGGTACTTTGAAAGCAATGTAACAAATGACCAATAAATAAAAATCTTGTATTTTACAGAAACATTCTTGCTAATTTCTTATCACTGTAGTATTTTGATATACATATCCATACGTTGTACACCATCCTTACAAATCAAAATTTTCTAAATCATATGCTGAAAAACTGGACGAGCAAGACACAGAAATTTGGTAATTTTTAAATAGTTTTTTATGTGTATTAAAATGAACACTGTTTTAATATAGTATTTTGGATAAAAAATATTCTCACATATGGTCAATAAGATAATATAAAAAACTTCTGCACAAATTAATTTGAATATAATTAAATAATTCAATAAAAAGGAATTTTACATATAAATATGAGTAATTATATATTTTGCCAAACAAGTGGACATTCTAGCTCTAATAATAAAATCATAATGCATTTTTACAAGCAATAATTTTTCAATATTTATATATCATAAATAAATCGATAAAAATTTATGGGTACTTGTGTATTAATGCAACCAGCTTGGTGCAATTTGGCGATTTTTTACAGATCAAAAGGTAGAAATTACTTAATGGATACAAGGTGATGGTTTTCATTTTTTTAGAAAAACTTTCTAATTATCGATATTTATAGTCAGTCGGTAAACATTATCAACATATGAAAAGAAAATATATTTTAACAATTTAGAATACAAATTTTAACTATGAAATAAGGATTACATGATACATTAAAAAAAATTACATTCTTCAAATCTTTCTGTAAAGGTTTAGCAAAATTCTGTATTCCTGTAGAAATTTTACTACAGTTCCTTCAATTGTTGGCAAATTCCACAAGCTTATACTTTACAACTAAAGCAAAAAATATCACTTTTTTTAATAAAAACAGTTTGAACTTGGTATAAAATGAAAAAGAAAGCATATGAAAATGACAATGTTGCTTAACTGAATGACTGTTATGAGTATTATTGCCAGAAATTGGAACATTTTAAAAATATGTAGACTTCTACTAAAGTGGTTGCATTAATAAGGCCGCACTAATTTATGCAGCCCAAATCTTGTATTTTTTAATAATCAATTGTCTTATAAGCAAATAAAATTACTAGGGTAATTAGAATAAAAGAACACTTACTTCAAAAACTGTTTCTTGGGGATTAAGCTCATGCTTCCCATAGGTAATATCAATGATATAGTCTAAAACAAAATATTGAAATTCTCATGAATAATATGTCAATAAAATGGTCAGCTGGTGCATAAATAACCACTTATTTCATAACCATTTCAAATTTTTATTATGGACTGATTTTCATACAAGGAATAAAATCCTACTAGTTTTAATCACATCTAATTTTTTTTTTTTAAAGGTACTAATTACATGAAATTTTAGCTAAAAAAATAGTTGGCAGATAGCTTACAAAAACTCAAAAATTCAATAGTTTTTGTTATCAGTTTAATGTTTACTTGCAATCAGACAGAATTTTCACTCATGTTTTAAATAATACACACTTTTTATTAACAAAATTATATAATAAATAACAAATATAATTTTTTAAAAAATCTGATATCCAGGTACTTATTGAAATATTCTATAATATCAGAGGGTGGAAAATAAAAGTAATCTAAAATACAGAATCTCATAAAAATTATCAGTTTAAACTAGAGTCCAATAAGTCGAACATTCAAAATAAAACACCTCTAAACTTTAATCCCTATTAAATAATAAAGATTTTAAATCAATATCACAGACAGAGTTTTAAATTTATAAGTCACAAAAATGTCTAGAAAAATATATATTTATCAAACATACCTAGTGTTTTTTGATCGGGTTTAATAAGCACCAGAAACTTTTTAACCATGTCATACCAGCCCAATAAAGCTGATTCTTTCATCTGTAGTAGCTGCTGCAACTTAACACTGCTAGGATGAGCAGTTGTAGATGCCTCAGTAGTTGTTTCAAAAGAGCCTGATTTTTTACTAGAGTGTGCTGAGAAAGAACATTGCACTATGGCAAGAAAGACTATGAGTACTGAAAAATGCTTCATGTTTGGCAACAATATTCAGAATGTTTGGGCAATCTGCAAAATAAAACAAATATTTTTAACAAAGAAGTCTAAAATTGTTTAAAACATTGCACTATTTTTTAATGATACAGTTATTTCAAATTGTTTCACAAAAACTATTTAAAATGACTGAAATTCACATATGCTAAAATGAAAATTATGCCCAATAAATAATACATGATTTTTATTTCAGGTTTAGGCAGTACAATATATTTTTCAGGTAGTTATCATAATGTTAAACAAATGAAAATAAATTCCTTGCATTTTTTAGACAGAAAGAATTATGTAACAATCAATATTTTCATATTTTTTCTCACCAAGTAAAAATTTATAATCACAAATTTTTGAAACAGAACATTTAAAAAAAAAGGGCGAATCTTTACATTTTCACAATATTTAAATTTCTTCCTTTTAAAAAGCAATATTAATTCAGTTATCTGTAATGTGAATTGCTTTCTCGAAATACCGTACAGAAAATTAATAATAGAAATAAATTAACAAATCGACCTGGATTTCAACAACAAATAAAGGCACAGCCTAATAAAATTAAAATATTTTTCTTATATTATTTCGAAGGCTGAAATATAAGCGGTATGATTATATTTCAGCCGTTCACATTCATATTTACAGATATATTCTAATTGCATTTAATAACATAATGAAAACCTACTTACCTTTAAAACTTTATGAAAAAGGAGCAATTAAAAAAGAAAAGGTTATGTTGACAAGGCGCGCACATATTCTATGTACAGACCATGAAATATCGCAACGAACAACCCGTAACAACGAATGCAACATGTAGAAACGTCATTATGGAATTTCCATTACCTATCAGAAATTTAGAAACCTCAAAACTCAGAAGAAATTATCGCTAAAAGCTCCAGCTGATACCAGGGACGCGTAACCATGACATTTACATTACGTCACGTCACATCTTGACATCACTCAACAAACTTTTATGAAGAAGGTAACAAGACAAAATGCACATCCACCGGAGGTGATTCACCGATTCAACTTTTCGCACAGGTTGCCATAGGTAAAAAAGACGCCAAATCAGCTCAACTCGCAACATGCAAAAAAAATAACAAAGCCTAGAAACCTTATTGCGCTTGTAAAAGAACACAAAGTCAAAACTTTATTGCCTATTTTATACGTAGTTTTCATCTCTAGTGTTATAGACACTTAATTAGATACATTATATAAATCGTAAATATAAATAATAAACATCTGAAATCTTTAAATACAATATACAGTAAATCTGAAATAAAATTATACAGTTAATGTTTGCTTCGTCATTTGTTCTATCATCTTCACCAAATTCAATTACAACTAGAATTTTTTATTTTTTAAGTGGAGAAAGTGAAGAGGAGTAATTGTGTTACTGCATTAAAATTTTAAAAAATAAAAACCAACATGTATTTTCTAAATAAGAAAGTAAAAGTTTTCAATATGTTTTCAAAATAACATACTAGGCAAAATGTCGTTTTTTCACAACAGCTTAACATTTTGACCTTAGGTTATTAATAAGCCGACATTCACAACGGTATTACAAGGATTATAGTCTACTACAGACTAATTTTCTAAGCCGCAAAATTTTCGGAAATGGATCAAAACTGATAAAATCGCATACAAAGAAAAACTGCAGAGAAAATGTATACAAACTTTTAAAAATACTGTTAAAACCTTCAAATAAAGAGTGATTTAAAATGAGGGGAAAAAAAATGTTTAAACTCAGTCTTAGTTTAGAACTAATTTAGGAAAAAAACAAAAACAAAAAAACTTACTTCAAAAGACACACTGATGCAGAGTCAAGCAGAATACTGCCACTTCAAGAAACTACATCAGAAATTCAATTAATTTTAAAATTTAAATTGGCACATTTCTTTTAATTGGAAGTGTGCTTATTTACGTACATTAATTCTACGAATAAGAGCTAAATATTGATTCGTTTCCAAGGCGTAGACAGGATATTCACGCCAAGACATACACGCATATTATTTAAATATATATATATTGAGAGATCTGTTTATTAGTTTGAACACAGCAAAGCACACGACGAAATCCATTTTTCTCAATCTAACAGAAAGGATGTCCTTAGTTAAATCGCCTTTGTGTGTTATGTTTTTTTCAAACAAATAAACACCTTTCTTTTGGGAAATAACTCATATTTGCGTTACATGGGAGAAGGATTTTCTAAGAGGTGTTGACTAATATTTATAGAAACAGCCAACTCGACGGGATCGAACTGCCAATATTAAGCGGATATAAACCTTCGGCTACTGACAGCCTTACTTTGTTGGTTGAGATAAATGAATACGCGCTGTCAATCAATGGAATCGAATAATTGTGAGTAACAGTAAAAGTTTAATATTAAACATATGATAACATTTACCTTATGTTTGATATATATTTAATATTACATATCATTCACAATTATAATAATTGTTATCATTGAACTAGCTAAAAAGATATTAAAATGAATAAATTCTTCTAATCAAGTTAAATAAGCTGTTAGTTTTTCAATTTCTGAAATGGGGGGTGAAGTTTATTCAGTAGCAATTTATGGAACTAAAAAGAATAAAACTATACTGTAAAGAAACAAACAGTTATTTAACAAACAGTGAAATAATAATTTATTTAACAACTGATTTATTTATCTTAGGCCATTGCTTTTCTAGAAAACAAAATCAAGTTTCCTAGGCACACTAGAAAATTTATCTTGAATTGCTACAAAACTTACATGTAACGTCCCGATGAATGGATTGTGTACTAGTGTGCCCGTTTAAAATATTTTCAGATCAATTATTACTTTTTTTAAAAATATTTGCCTTTTCTTATTTTTCGAAGATGACCAGGTTAGGAAATGATAGTTTATAATTAAAAACTTATTAATACATACGAATATCCAATGTAAAATTTTAATAAATAAAAAAATTTCGAATGTAAAATATATCGAATATAAATTTTAATAAACTAGAAAAGTATAAAAAAATATTAAATTTGTTGAAAATAAAATTTAGATAAACTAATTACAGTTACTTAAACAAATTCTTTTCATTTCGCTCGCTAATTACAAATTTCTGAAAACAAAGACAAAATATTTTTATTCTACATCGAATTTACGAAATTCTAACCAGTATGCTGCAAGATTTCAATTCGTATTACTAATGTCACCAAAAAATGATAAAGATCACATTATGGCACTCCTCACTATGCTTTCAGAGGGAGCCCCAAGTTTCAAAGAATACGGTATATACACAGTTGATGGAACCACAAACACCCCATCCCGCCGAAAGCAGAATTACAAGTCTGTCTGGTTTTCGTATGAATTCGGTCGACCTTGCTTCTCCAGACTTTTATACTTCTGTGCAATTTTTTTCTCCCAAATGAATCATCGTATCGGTGTGATCTCGGACTTAGGAACACGAAATAAATTTCTATTTTTCTTTTCGCCTTATTTTTTTAAAGATAATGATTAGACAAGTATTTTCTCCTCTTTTCCAACCTATGAATAATGAAATGTGGATGAACATGGCAATAATGAATTGCAAATGCTGTTTACCGTTACCTGTTTCTAAAAGGAAAAAACAATTCTCAAAGTTCTTTTCTTTACGGGGGGAGAGGGGGTTAAATTAAATTGTTTATTTATATAGTTGTTAATCTGCAGTTTTTTTTTTTTTTTTAAATTAATTGTACTCTCATACAAAAGTATGAGATTATAAACTCAAACAGTAAACAATTCAGAGTTACGTTTAAAAAAATAATAAATACGTATCAATATACAACATTTCTAACATATTAATGTCTAAAATCAAATTGGACTGTAAATACAAATAATATACATAAGTGTAAATCAAATTATACATAAATTCTAAACTCCAAATGGAAGAGGATGGCTGGTTTGTATACTTTTATAATTCAACAAACAGTCTTTGAGGGGAAAGAGCAAAAATCATGCCAACCGTACCTAAAAGTAATTATTACGGCTCTTTATTCTCTCGCAACTGATACTTTAAATTTATGCGAAGGTAAAATATTGAGTCAGCTTTCTATCTTTCTTTCTTTTATTTTGTCAGCGTTTAAAGTTATTTGACTGTTATTGTTTAATTTACATCGCCAGGAGTAGTGGTTCTTGTCTGTAACACTAGTCGTGCCCTTTTACGTTACAAGTTAATAACGTTACAAGTTCCAGATTAAATAAAAAGGTTATTTAAAACCCTCGCAAGGTTTTGTCATACTATTTCAGATATAGCGATAACTCCCTAACCTAATGTAAACTCTACATACCCTATATAATCTTTGTTTCTACAACTTTATGTAGACTGCTAATGGCAACAAGAAATAAAATATGATTAGAATAATAATGTTTTAAACGGATCGATATCTGAAAAAGTAATAAATAATTTTCTTTAAAATACAGCACTGAAAACTTATTCCTAAACAGAAAAATAACGCTATAGTACCATGTCGTGCTATCATTAATTTACTCATTAAATGTATAAGAAAGTTATATACTTAAATATAAATGACATCATAATGTCATCTGACGGCTCTCGTGTATCTCGTGACATAAATACTACTTGACATTCATTTTGCTCAATTATCTCTTTTTTACACATGCTAAGACTATTTATTATTCTATTTTTTATTCTAGTCTGAGAACAAACAGCCGATCATTAGATAGCGCTGTTCTTGTTTCTTTCATGAATATCATCATCTACGTAGTTCATAATTTTCAGAAAATGAAGCGTAGTTATAGCACCATGTTTTAATGTTTTGCCATTAGTAGTATAGTACAGTTCATCATATTATCAGATTTCTTAGCAAGGGATAAAGAAGTCTTTTTGACTGGTGGGTAATTCTAATGTTAATGAATGATGTACGTGACAAAATAAAAAATTTAGGAAGCCATCCTTATTTCATTTTACATATTAACTTTAGCTTTTCTTCCTTGCATTTGAATACATGTTCAATAAAATTACAAGAGCATCTCTTTTAAATGATTTCAAACTGTAAAATGTCTTTCCAAATGTTCCAAGAGACGAAAAATGTTCGAAGGTTCCTAAGCTATTAGCTCAGATGATGGTTCCTTATTCATTACCTTTTTTTTGAAAGGGGGTCAGTAACTCTTTTTTTTTGGGGGGGAGGGAGGGAGAATGGATGCCAAAATGTCACTGAGCTGCAAATACAACTTAAATGACGACCGGAAGAAATGTATCGACACAAACAATTTGCAGATCCTTTCTTACACACTCATTTAGAAAAATTACTTGTGCCTCATTGGCCTTCTAGCATTGTGGGGGCTACGAAACTGGGCTGAAGAACAGTTTGGCTAGGATCTGCCGAGTGCAGGCCCCTAGTCAAATTCCTCCTTCCGACTAATCCAAATTCAACCTACAGCCGGATAATCGAAGATTTCTGATCAGGACAGAAGGTGACACCCGATAAAATTTAGTGCATGCCTAAGAAAAAAATCTCATTTTACTGAAGGCTGCATGCTTGTTTAAGCTTCCGTGGGTATATATTACTCTGGACACCTTCGAAATCGGTCCTCGACTGCTCAAAGATACAGGGTTGAAATTCTTAAATTTTTGGTCGTGCTTTATTAAATTACTGCCATCGACGACTCAGCGCCGTTATCTAGATGAGAACGCTCGACCTCACTGAGCGCTCGTTAAAGCCAGATGCTATCGATGAGGAAACAACAGAAAATATGGACGACTGGCTGGCATATTCTCTCGGTTTAAATCCAATAGAGCATGTTTGAGACTTACAAACGGACGGTTGCTGCCAGATCGCAACTCCACAACCTCTGCTCTTCAATTCCCCTGTTCACAACAAAATCATTTTTTACAATTGCATCTTCAATTGCAAAAAAAAAAAAAAAAAAAATGCTTTTTTTCTTAAGAAGTGGGGGAAAATTCTCCAAAATCTTAGCAGTCAGTCAGTAGCAGTTTTGTGGCCACCG